TATATTAACTTAAGGAATTCCCTTAAATTACGTTTGTTTATCAAACAATTGACAAAAGACAGCAAATAAAATATTGGACTTCAATCTCCAGACCTTATTGACAAGTCCCATTCATACAGATTCGTCATTATTGCGATAGGACCCTTGTGCTGATAAGCTGTCTTGCATATTATAAGCTCGTTCTTTTGTAATTAAAAGGAAATCAAGAGCAAAGCCATCAAGTCAAGAACCGAATAAAGACCCAAAGCCAGGAGAAACGGAAATAATCAAGGCAAAAATAGCCCAACTCTAGGCTATACTTATGCAAATATTGTCTCGGTCTCAGTCTAGTCTGGCAGACACAACCTGAACCTTAAGGGGGAGTTGGGTAGGGTATATAGTACCACCCAAAATAGAAAAGAAATCCTCTAAAGATATTTCAACCCTTTCGGCGCACACCACCCCGCATTTCATTAGCGGTGCAACGTTAATTTTATGTCAACGACTTCTCCGTTTCATACCGTTTATGGTAAATTGAAATCGAAGCGCTTCAGTTCTTCGATGTTTTATGAGTTTATCGGTAGTTGGCTGGGTAGTCAGCGCAACTTGTGGCAGGACGCCCGGAACTTGGAGCTCCGAGAAAAAAAAAAACTGAAAGCCACCAAAGCCATCGCCTTGGCAGCCAAAACATTTGGGCCGCGCTATCAAATAACATTCGCTGTTCTCCGCTTTCAGGCATTTTGCTTTCTAGCCTCTGTTTTTCAGTTTTCTGGCCTCCAGTTCCTCCTGAGCTCTGTGTGTCGTTATTTTGGCTGGTAAACAACCAGAAATGGGAAAATGCCGCCGACGTTGATAAGGGCGACGTTTGTACAACGCTTTGTACACTCGAGTAAAAATTAGTTTTAAAATTTTTTACCCTTTATCTTTTTGAAATATTAAAAACAAAAATTAAAAAAAAGTTTTAAAAGTCTAAAGCTTTCTTATTTCTTTAATGAACTGAAAAATAATTATAATGCTTTTAAAATGTTTAAATTACAATAACATATCAACCAAATACACGCCTATTTAACAATAAAATAAATTTACAAAAAAGGGAAATTTGTAATAATATTAAATCATAAAGATTCCTAACTTCTCAATTGTTTATAAGAAATAGCTATTTTCCTATAAAAAAATAATTATTTGAAAAACTATAAAAAAAATCGGAAACTAATTTGTTTATTTTTAATTACGAAGAACTATTGTTTTTTTACGTGTAAGACCTGTTCCTGTACTTATTTCGCTTCCTGTTCCCGCTTTCTGGCTCGCAATTGATTTTACAAATTCAGGCAAATGAGCCGTAAAGCCTGAAGTAGAACCGTAGTAGTACTCACCATGTCATGGACTCCGGCCAGGGGAATGTGATTGCCGTCCTCACCCACATTGGCCACATACTTCTCCAGCTTCTTGAGTTCCGCCTCAATCGGGGTCCACTCGCTTTTCATGGCCAAACCGAGGACCTTATTCGCCGTATCCCGAATGGAGGCGCCGGCACTTGGGGGCTTGGGGGCGGGAAAGAGATCCATGTCCTTCTTGTCGCCATTGCTCGAGCTGTCGTCCTTGGGATCGGAGTCGGCCTTGCTGGCGGGCGTTGCCCGTTCGCTGGGCGTGGCCGAGTCATCCGGCGGACCTGTGAGGGAGGAGGGGGTCTTGCGGCCCACGCCGGCGCCCCCAGCACCGCCGCCACGCCCACCGCCACGCCCTCCGCGCGGCTGCGACATTCTGCCAACACTCTCTATAAGAAGTCAGGGATCCCAAATCAATCGCTGATCATTGGGATTTTCCAAAGGGGGGTTCGTTGGTTGAACGGATGTTAACTGGTTTATGCTGCCATTATCCGTGTAATGCCTTTCCGGTTATTGTATTATTATTGATTCGATACGGCGAATGGCGGGTTTTAAGCTGCATGGCTTCGCACTCGCATTGCACAAAATTCCTACGGCCTACGGCCCACGGCTCCGCATTTTACCAATATTTGTTACCAACAATTTGCATTTTCATTGGCAACACAGCAACAGACACACTGAAACTCACTAGCCACACACACAAACCGACAAAACCGAAAAGCGAAAAACACTCGCTATTATTCCACTTTGATTCTTTCGCTTTCTTCACTTTTACTACACAAATTTATATGTTTAGCCCCCTTTTATTTCTTCGGTTGCGTGTGCGTTAACGGCGGCAGTGCCCCCTTTTCTTCTTCGGTTGGCCAAAAAGTCCCCAACTTCAGCACTGGAGTTCTTAGGTTTTTATTTATTTCTCTGGAGCCACGAGAAAAATTCAACCGTTTGCCACGAGCGTCTGCGAGTTTCTGATTTGCCAGTCTCATTTGCACACAGAGCCGAGTTTTCCCAAGGCGCCGCTCGAGCGGAAAAACTCGGCCCTCCACTCGGTTTTTCGGTAGCTCTGGCAACACGACGAAGCTCCAAACTCGAAGGACGCAAGACGCTGCCGCGAAATAAACAAAGAATCCAAGTAACATCCGCGCAAGCGTTTGTTTACAATTGTTGAATCTGAATCCTCCGGGTAATACCTCCTTTTTTGGCGCCAAAATCTGCAGTTTCGTTGGGATTTTCAGCGTCGTTAAGTGCCAGTGGGAAATCCAAATGGGCAGCAGTGGCGATTGAGAGTGTAACATCCTGGCTAGCTAGTAAGTGGAAATCCCAAAAGGCCAGGAAAGTAATTATTACAAAAACTATTGTACAAGTAAATGATTAAGGATTTTTCCGTTACTTTATATATTTGAATTTTATTTCTATTATCAGATCAATATATTATTATATATTATTTTAATAGGGAAGTTTATTATATTGTAATATCAATATTATTAATACGCCTTTCCATTCCCAAAGTTAATATTATTTATTAACTGACGGAATATTTAAAAAGGTTTGTAGGTCCTCAAATGAATTCCCAATCTTGACAAAATTATAAATAAAATGAGACCTAATTTTATAAACATTTTCTAATGCCTTGCTTTTTCTATTCTGCAGATACATACATATATGTATAAATATTTTTTCTGATTAGACATGAAGCACACTTTAAGAAAAAGCGATTTGGGGGTGTGATAAGAAAACAAATAAGATAAGAAAAAGTAAAAATATCAAGCCACGCGAATTATGTCTGCTTACTTATCAGGGATGCCGTGCTAAATGATTCAAGAACCAACCATTTAAGCTTATCTTATCTAAATAGAGAAGTTTAAAAAAGGTTGGAGAACTAAAACTGCTTGAATTTGCTTCTTACAATCTGATAAAAAAAATGAAATCTCATGATTATAATATACTTTTTCTTTTTATTTTACTATGGAAGTTGAGTGTTAACAGTTGATATAGATTTATCAAGTTTAGCACTAAGATAGTAAAAAGAAAAATATACAAATAAGTTAACTAGATAAGCTGAACCATCAAACACTTATTCAATGTTTAGGAGATACCCCCGTATGTTATTACTTAAATTATGCAGTCATTCATTATACATAGTTGTTTGTTCTAATCGCTCAAACTTGGACTTCAAGTTTAACAAGCACATAATGACCTGATAAACGAGAGAACAAATACATTTCGAAGATCAAAAAGCTACGCATCACGCCACATCGAAAAAGCTTCAAACATAAACTGGGGTGTAGTTCATTTACTTTTAAGGGGAATTAATACATACAAGCGCAGATCCAGGGGGGGTGATATGAGGTATATATCACCCCCCAATCGGGTGAAAAATAAGACGAATTTTGGTATTCAAAAAGTGTGAAAAAAAAATGTTCTGATATCACCCCCACAACAAAATCCTAGGTGTGTAAAAAGTGTTCACTGAAAAATCTGAAAATAAATATTCAGTTGTATAGTCTAAAATAAATAAGTTCATAGCTTTAAATCCTAGCATGATTCTACTTGAAAAGGGTGATACTCAAAATGCACCCTTAATCCTCAAATATCCCATACACAAGAGAAAAAAAAGAGAAGATGAGATAAGATATTTATACCCGTTACTCGTAGAGTAAAAGGGTACATTGTATTCGTGCAAAAGTATGTAACAGGGAGAAGGAAGCGTTTCCGACCCCATAAAGTATATATATTCTTGATCAGGATCACTAGCCGAGTCGATCTAGCCATGTCCGTCTGTCCGTCTATCTGTCCGTCTGTCTGTCTGTATGAACGCTGAGATCTCGGAAACTATAAAAGCTAGAAGATTGGCATTTTGCATGCAGATTTTAGGAGTTCCTACGCAGCGCAAGTTTATTTCAAAATGGTTCCACGCCCCCTCTAACGCCCACAATCGCAAATATACGATTTTAAAAACTTTAATATTTTGGAAAAGTAAAAATGCAGTTTTATTGTGTTTATCAACACCTATCGAAATGTAGAAGAAATTTTTCAAATCGGACCATTCGTTAAAAAGTTATGCGTGATCAAAGTTTTTAATCTATATCTCCATCTCCCTCGCACTCCCTTTACCTGAGTAACGGGTATCTGATAGTCGGGGCACCCGACTATAACGTTCTCTCTTGTTTTTTTTATGTTACCCCCCTAAAGTTAAATTTGAATAGAGGAATCAGTTTAAAAATATTTTTTAGGAAATGAGATCAGTTCTTTCTGATCGCCTTCAAATCAGTTTGATTTTAATAGTACGCATTCTTTCAAATATATCAAAATATTTGAAACAAATATTTATTTCAACGTAATATAAAGCTTTTAAAAATATAGCTCCCCTTTTTCTGCGACTCTGACTTTTAAAAGCTGCTGCCCCATAGAAAACACAATGATAACTCACAGGCACACGTGCTGCCAAAGCAAATAGCAAAAAGCAAGCAAAATAAAAGCGATCAAACAGAAAACAAAACAAACGCCGGCAAATCCATTGTCGGGCTATAAAGAGAAAAATAATAAAGTTTAAAAAAAACCCAGAAAGCGTCGGGAGAGGCAGCGGTACTACGACGAGCGTATGGCGATTAGAAGACCTCCACTCAGTTTGTTTTGGAACCTGACGGGCTGCGGACGTTCTGCTTAATATTCCTAGAACATAAAAACCAGGAAATATTTAATCGTTTTAAAATTAAAAAGTGTACCAGTGCATATTATGAAATTATAGTATCTAAAAATTCATTAAAATAAAATTAAACAACTGTGATAATCGGCAAGATGAACAGCAAACTGCAGATCATCTCCAGATATTTGCTGAGGCAAAAATGTGTGTTCAACTCGATGCGCAGGTGGGTAGACCTTCAAGGATCATTTATCCTTATAGTTAAAGTCAAGGTCAGTTTTGATAATATCTCCTATCAAAAAAGAAGAAGCTGGCCAGAAACTTTCCTTCGTCTAATTGCGCAGTTTTGGTGATGGGGTGTGCTAAATAGTCCCCCTTATCCCCCTTCTGCCACGTTGCGTAATATTTTAGACTCCAGATGTAGATGGTATGGTACAGTTGCCCACAGGAAATCAGAGTTAATTTAATTAGCCTAAGTAGGTGGTTAACTTCACCCAGAATCAAGAAAGGGGCGTGTCTATGGAAAGGTGTCCAAATATAGACGGCCAACAGGTCTTTTTAATTATCGAGTTTTAATTTAGATGAATTTCAAAAGATAAGCAAATCGTCAGCAGAATTTTCCACTCGCTTGATAATTTATGGCGACCACCAAAGTCAAGTGCTGCTTTATACGATCTCTGTATGAGCAAAACCGTCAACACAAATAAAAAGTGTTTACAATTACAAGTAAATAGTACCGATAATATATTGTAAGTATATATCTATAGAATAACCGTTTAATTCATGCCACTGATTATAACGCCTTTTGTCATGCCCCCTTTTTGTGGCTTTTTCTATTGAGATATTAAATCTCGCTTACAATTCGGTAGCACTAATCACTTAGCCAAACTATTAAGTGATAACAAATATATGTATTACAAATGTGCGTACAAATGTGTGTATTTACACTCTCAAGCTTTTTCTCTAAATAACAGCTTTCACACTACCCAAAAAAATGTTTAATGCTCAGCAAAAGCACAAACCGCTTATGATGAAATTATATTTTCTACACGTAGATATAAAAAATAAATATAATGTCAAATGTTATAAAAAAAGTAGGTAAAATTTTAAATTAAATGGTATTAAGGCAACATCCATTTTTAAATTAAAATAAATCAATTTTTAAAACCTGAATAAAAATATCAAAAAACCAATGAATACTTTTTTTATTTAATAACCATTTTACTTTGAAATGTAAATTAATTGTTTAAAAAAATGTAGTTTTCTGTAATATTCTAAAAATTATGGAATAACATTAGGAACCCTTAAGATAAAAATTTATATATTTTAAAAATAACTACCTTAAAATTCGTTTATCTAAATTGTATAGTTCTGTACATTATGAATAATTAATATAAAAATTTTAGAAATAACTAGGATTGAAAGATATAACTTTAGTAAAATTGATTTATTTAATCTTAAAACTTTCTCATACCATTATTTCCAGCATCTCCACCTCGATGCCCATCCTGATCAGCCACAAACACCATGTGGGTAAGGATCCGCTGGTCTATCGAACCGTGGGACAGCAGTTGGAGCTGACGGCCTCGAACTATGGTAATGTGGAGGCCATTGTCTCGTGTCACGAGGGCAAGAGGTATACCTTCCAAAATTTACTGAAGGAAGCGGATGCCTTGGCGGCGGGATTCCGAAAGTTGGGACTGCAGCCGGGAGATGCCATCGGTTTGTGGGCGCCCAACTATATGCACTGGTATCTGGGCATGATGGGAGCAGCTCGAGCGGGACTCACCTCGGTGGGTATTAATCCCGCCTTCCAGGGCCCCGAGGTGGCCTATTGCCTGAACAAGGTCAATGTCAAGGCCATCATTGCACCGGAAACCTTCAAGACTCAGAATTACTATGAGATTTTGAGGGATATCTGTCCGGAAATCTCGGATGCGCAGCCTGGCAAGATCAGAAGTGAGAAGTTCCCCCACCTGAAATCCGTGATAATCGATAGTAATGATGGTTTGAAGGGTGCTTTGAGATTCGATGAGTTACTAGACCTGGCAAACCCAACGGAACGTGAAGAGGTTTCTCAAATCCAAAATAACATACTACCCGAATCCCCTTGTAATATTCAATTTACCTCGGGAACTACGGGAAATCCCAAGGCAGCTGTACTCTCTCATAACAATTTCGTGAACAATGGCATCCATGTGGGAAATCGTAATCAGCTGGAGGGCGAGAGGATCTGTGTACAGGTGCCCCTGTTTCATGCCTACGGAGTGATCATTACAATTATGGCAGCGCTATCCAAGGGAGCTACTATGATCCTACCCGCCCCCGGTTTCAGTCCCAAGGATTCCCTGCAAGCCATTGTCAAAGAAAAGTGTTCGGTTATACATGGCACACCCACCATGTATGTGGATTTGGTCAACACGCAGAAGAAACTGCAGGTGCCGCTGGGCAAGATCAAGAAGGCCATCACCGGTGGGGCTATTGTGGCGCCACAGCTCATCAAGGATATCAGGAATATCCTTGGGGTGGAAGCGGTTCACAGTGTCTATGGTTTGACGGAGACCACAGCGGTGATCTTCCAATCTCTACCCGGCGATAGCAGCGACGTAGTCCTCGATTCAGTGGGTCATCTGACGGATCACATTGAGGCCAAGGTGGTGGATCCCGAGGGTAGATGCGTGCCCTTCGGCCAACCCGGGGAGTTGTGTGTTCGTGGGTATGTCACCATGTTGGGCTACCATGGCGATGAGGAGAAGACCAAGGAGACCATCGGCAAGGACATGTGGCTGCGGACCGGAGATCAGTTCATCCTGGAGGCGAATGGCTACGGCAGGATTGTGGGTCGCCTCAAGGAGATGCTCATCCGTGGTGGGGAGAACATTTTCCCCAAAGAGATTGAAGACTTTTTAAATGCCCATCCGCAGGTCATTGAGGCCCATGTGAGTTGGCTATATGGAAATTATTTATTAATATTTATTTACAATATATATTTAAATTTCCCAGGTGATTGGCGTGCCCGACGAGCGACTGGGCGAGGAGGTCTGCGCCTTTGTTCGCCTTGAGGAGGGCGTTGACCCCGCCTCCTTCACCGCTGCGACCTTGAAGGAGTACAGCAAGGGCAAGCTGGCCCACTTTAAGGTTCCCCGATATGTGATCACCTTGGATGCGTTCCCTAAGACAACCTCTGGCAAGATCCAGAAGTTCAAACTGGTTGAGGCTTTTAAGCAGAAGTGTCCTGAAGAACTTAAGGTCGCCAGAGCTTAGTCTTATAATTCTAAGATTTTTAATATAACATTAAAGTTAGATTTTATACAAAAACACTTGGTATTGTATTTGTATACCCTTTTATATACCCTTTTATTATATAGTTAAAGCTGTAAAACTGAAATGCATTAGTAAACGTTTTTAAACTTACAGAAATAACACAATGCTGACTAAATATAATCCCTTGGAACCTAAATATACGATTAAGCGTTCTTCGAAAACTACGTAGCAATAACTTATCAGGCTTTTCTGTGGCTAACTGCAATGATTACAAAGTGAATGCGAATGCATATCAATTCTTGGTATAAAATCAATAAGATGAATTCACATTTTAGATTGAGCTACATAATGTCAAAAGGGGTATAAATAGAGATCCCACAGTTAATCTAATATCAGTTTCGAAATCAGAAGCTTAAGCTACAAGATGAATCCTTTGATTTTCTTCAGGTAAGTCATTGTAATCCCTTTTTGTAAAAATAACCTAAGCTATAATATTTTTTCCCAGTTCCCAGTGGTTCTCACAGGATGTCTTCTTGGAGGAGGAAATGCCGAAGTCGAGGATGAGTTCACTACTGAGCAACAACGCTTACTTCAGGTGTATGGCGATTCTTCGGTGGATGAAGCCACTAGATATAGAAATGTCGATGATTTAGCCAAGTTCTATGACAAATACTCCTCTGTCCTCCTATTGCCAAATCCCCTTAGTGAACGTGCCCAGGATATCTTTAGGCGGTATAAGGAGGAAAAGTCTCATGCTGTTGAAGTGGATGGTGTCCCTGCACAAGGAGGTTTCTGGGCGCCTCTGCTGAAGATTCTCATTGTCCAGCTGGGCGTGGAACTTGCCTCTGAGGGAATCAAACGTGCTACAGCATCTTAAGTCTCAATTGGGATGAAGTATAACTTACCCAAAAAGATTTGGTGTTTAATAAATAAATACGTTATTTTGAGCATAAATTCTGCATTTTCCTTATTTTGGGACCTGGCTAATTGTGTCGTCTATAAATTTAAACTTATACCCCTTCTGACATTAAGCAGCTATTTAATTTTATTCCGAGAATTGATTTGCATTCGCATTTTGTAATCATTGCAGTTTATTTTTTTTTTCACCTCCCCAAAAGTATGCAATTGAAAAGCTCATTTGAATTTTACATTACTTTTTTATTAGTTGTCTTTAAATTAGTTAAGTTTAAGTATTAACTTTAAAAAATGTATTTAAACCAAAAATGTTGCTTCCAGTTAGTTTTTCAAAAATTAAAATAAAACCCCAACTTTGCTCGTTGCTCGTTTTTCGAGAAAACCAAATCTTAAAGCTGAAATCAAAATGCATATGCTTAGCACATCGAGGCGTCTTGGTGGGTACTGTACGTTTACATGTGGTGCGCAATTTCTAAATTAATTTATAATTTCAAAGGAAATCGCTTGAAGACGTCACAAAAATTATTTCAGCTATAAATTGATAAATGTTGTACTGTAAAATGAATTCCGTGGGTAAACATACATGATTAAAATGATCGTCAATTTACGCTTAAAAAAATATTTGTTCAGTGCATATTTGTTGAAATTTTGAGCAACAGCAGAATTTTCAAGCACAATAACCTTTAATGAGACTGTACGATTAAAATTACCGTATCATCTTAAACATTGAGAGGATGTTCACGCCAATTAAAAAATTAGTACAGATTTTATCAATTTGTTTTTTACTTCTATTAAATTTTTAATAATTGACAATTTTTTTAAATATTTACAAAAAAATGTTTTCTAAAAAACAATACAACAACCTGGGAAAGGTTTTCATTTTAAGAAAATAAAACAAGTTAATATGGAAAATAATGTTTTTATTGAGTTCTTGATTTCCAAGTCAAAGTTTTAATTTTATTCCACAAACAAATTGTGCGTTTTGAGAAACGGCTGCGACTTGCCAGCGATTTTAGCCGCGAATCCCCCGATAGCATTGCTCGATCTTTATGACCCGGCAACTGATTGGACCTTTATGTCTGTGTTTTCGCAACGCTCTGATAGCAGCAGCTTTAGTCATCTGACATTATGGCTCAGAACGGGAATCGTAATATTGCGGAAAAATACACATAGAATCCAGTTGCGGAGACATTTACATTAAATTCTAATCGCCGCCGAAGTGGAATAGGCCAGTCAAACAGCCTAAGGGAGTGGAATGGACTCGTATTTATACCTTCCTCTCGGTTTCTTATCATTTCGGTGGCGATAACGAATCGCCCCTCCAATTTCGGGCGCTCAAAATATTTGGCAACGCTTCAGTTTGTGATCATCAAGCGCTCGATTCGGAGGAGACGTATGTAAATATTTGATATAGCTTGGGCTAATTAATAAAATTAATAAATAATCCAGTTGAATAGTGACTAGGTGACTCGGTGATTTTTTGTATGATTTGCATACATAAGTCTGACCGAAAAAAACACGGGTCTGTTGGCATTGGAATATCTCTGAGATCTGCGAATCGGATCTAGTTTACTTTGTCTTAGGTTAGTAATGTTGTGACCGGCTTTAAATACGTATCAGTGGGCTCCAGTAGTTTCCCAATTTATTTCTTCGAAATTTTGATAGTGCTATCTGAAATTTTGGTAAGATTAAGGAGAAATTAAGCAATCTCTTGATTTCTTGCAATATTGGTTTTCGTAAAGTGCTAAGAAAAACATAAAGACATTAAACAATATTAAGATATTTTCAATGTATAATTAAATACATTTTTAATAAAATAAAAAAATTAATACTTTATTTAAAACAAATATTTAAAGCAGTGAGACTAAAAAAAATTAACAATAAGACAACACTCCTTAAAAAAGTTCGTAAATAAATCTTTATAATTACCAAAACAAATAATAGATTTTCATAATTTAAAGATAAACTTAAAGACAGTCAAAAAAAATTCCAAATCATATTTTATGACTTCCTTCAAACTTTTTGGATTGATAAAGACAAAAACATAGGTTCAGAGATACAGGCCCAGACTAGTACTTGAGTTTATTTGGGCAAAACAATCCAAATCAACCGATTTCAAGGTTAAACCATAAATAAGCATTAAGATTTTCGCCAATGGGCTAGTGGAAAACACGAGTGCCATTAAATTAGCCATTATCTTTTAATTTCTATGACGAGTGTTGAGAATGAGACAAAGGAAATCACGACCGACTGCCAAAGGTTTATGAGTTAAGAACTCCTAAGGATGATGATTTTAGAAAGGTAATCTAATCACAAATCCCAGTCATGGGTTGCACTAGTATATTTTATGCGCAGAAATTATGGGAATTTCATTTCAATTGCGTTATAAATCTTCACCTGTCAAACAGAAGCTTAATTGAATTTATTTTTCTTTGCACAATCTCAATACTTAATTTTGTTATCTAAAATTATTCACGCATAAATTAAAGCAATGCGATTCCAAAGGGAAAGTAGGTATAACTGTGCTAATCAGTTTTCCAGTTCCCAGGCGTAATTGAATATTTATAGATTTGCACTCGATGCACTTGCATCGTTTTTATGAGTTTATTAAGTGCGAATTATTTCAAAAATTCTGTTACGCGACGTCTGGTGATAATTAAAAACCAATAAAAATGGAGCTTTGGGGCATTTTCATGAGATTTCCCCAATAGTAATGCGCAAATTATTTTCACCGACTTTTTCGCCTCTCTAAACTAAATCTCACACTTTATAATCTAATTCGATTTCATGCTAATTCGTGACGTATTACCGCCACCTGTAATAAATTGTAATTCAAACACTGCTGATCGGTCTGTAATAGTTTTTTAATATACGTATCATTTATTAATTGATTCATAATTAAGCAAAAAAAACAGATACCAAGCAAACACGATCAAGTATTAAAAAACATAAATTTAAAGTACATTGTAGGTATGAGTTACAGAGGAATGACAATAATATTTTTTAATGGGTTCTATATTTTTTTTTAGATGTTTTTTAATATCTATTGTTATATTATTATTATTAATAAGGTTTTGCTGTATTTAGAAGAGATGATCGTAATCCAGAGTGCTGCCATATTCTGTAAAGAAAGCTTCTGGAAAAGGAAAGCTCTTTGATGGCATTTTCAAAATATTTCCAAACCCAAATATAAATAGAAGAAATGTTTATAATAGTTTTACAATTAATAGAATTTTTCAATATATTTATTTAATTTTCTCTCTGGAACATTAAAATTTAATAGTTGCAAAATCCGAATTTGCTATCGGTAAACCTGCTCAAGCTCGGATTTCGACTCGATAAAAGGGGGATTAATCCAAAGCTGTGGCGATTTTTGCAGCTGGGGGCTTTTCGGGCACTCAGTCCGCGACGGAGACCCAAATCAGACGCAGTTTCGGATCCCCCGGAACCACAGTTGTCCAGTTTAGTAGCCGCGGTCACCGGCGACTGACGAGCGATCAGAACGATCAGTCCGCCGAGTTCAAACAACCGTACAAATAAACTAGATTGCAAACTGTGCCAGTAGTTGTGTGGATTTTGTGTGTGAGTGTGCGGGCGAGCTTAGCCAATTTCTACGGGTAAAGGCATATATATAGTAGCGCCAGAAGTCGCGTACGCGCATTCGAGCATCAAACATCTACGGCCAACGTCTAACGGTCTAACACACGGTCGCTCTTTGCCGTAAATCGAACGAAATCGAAAACAAATCGAAGCCGAAGCTAAGAATTTATCGAAGCAATTCAATAAAACCTGATCATTTCCGGTCATATGCGTGCGTTTTTTATTGTAAAAAGTAAAACAAAATAAAACCCCAGAGTAACTGCTGCATCCCTCCCTTTCGCACTCGCGACTCACGCACCCCGCAGCAGAAAAAAAAATAATATAAAATCAGCAACAGCAAGCTCTGCTAATTTTAAACGGTAATCCCATGTTCTTGTTTTTGCATAAATTTATTACAGTCCATCGCTGCTGTTAGTGTGTTGGTGTGCTTTTTTCCAGAGTGTGCGTGTGTGTGTTTTTGTGGTCGCGTTTGTTATTTGTTTATCGCTCTGCACGCATTTTCCGCTTGCTCAAAATATATAATTTTGTAATATTTGTAAATCGATAACTGATAAGGGATAACGATTATAAAGTGAGTCCACTCGATTTGATTGTCATATCTAATCGAAGTAATTTCGAAATATTCAGGTTTTTTAATAAAAACCGAGAGAAACTTAAAATTAAAGAAGTTTCAAAGGTTCGTTTAAAACATACGAAACGAAGTTGAGGGCTCTAGTTGATTTTACCTTAGTGACAAAGTTTATTTGATTTGATTATCTTATCTAACCGGAATGATTAAAAAACAATGAATATTTTCTGCAAATATTAAATTTGCGATGCATTTTAATGGATATCAAATGCAAATATTTATTCGCAATTATAATTGTTATAATTAATTATACCATTACAAAATATCGCTCATACGCAGAGTTGTCACATATTACATTTCCTTTTTCTTTACAAAAACCAAATGATTTACGACTGTTAATTAAAAATGTGTTTTGGTTTTTCATTTCCACCGAATTTAGTAATCACAGACTCGAGTTTACAGTAGTAACAAAAATCGCCCTTTTGCATTTAAAGTGTTACAAAAAAGGCGCTAAAATATCCATCCAGAAAATGTTTGCCCATCCTCCAGGTGATTGTGTGCCCCTCAAACTTATAAATTGGATCGCTGAGCTGCGATTATTCAACTTTAGAATGCCAGCAAAAAAAAGAGCACTTAGGAGCTGATAATAAGACGAACAAATATTGAACAAAAGGCGAAGTGTAAAGAGATGTACTCTGGCCATTATCGCACCTGAAAACGCTTTCGAATCAGTCAAAGGCAAATTAGGATCATAAACATTTAACAATATCCAAATAAAAGGCGGGACGTTAGTGTTTGACGGGGCCTTATCCATATGTTTATCTATCTCCCCCAGAAACAGATAATATTTGCAGCTCGTTGGTGTTGGCAAACCTAATTAGCTGACAGTCAAGTCGTAACTCGGGGGCTGGGACTTATCAAGAACCTTGCGAAAATTGAGAATCGTCCAATTTGGCATTTGAATTGTCACCCGTTCTTTGTCAATTAGCCGACATAATTGGAGTACAATGTGCATTTGCATCGCATTGGAACGGAACGAAACGGAACGTCACTTGGCCCACTTGGGGAGTTTGAACTTGAAAAACCCAATGCTGATCCCTCCCTCTCCCTGATCTCAATTTAGAATCATCCATCATCCATCTCTGAATCCCCCGAAACGAGGAAGTCTTGCTGAGCTCAATGAGCCTCGCAGTGGGTCGTCTATTTAGCCAGCAGATTTTTAATGCGAATGCGCTTGACCCAAACAGCAGTGGCAGTAGTAGTATTGCAGTAGCACTGGTAACCTTAGTGAAACCGACGACGAAATCCCCGCTTTTCGGACCTTCGCCAGAGGCCCCACAAATGCAAGTCGTGTGTTTAATTATCGCGCATACGCCGCGTTGCCGCCGCAGACGGACAGCTAGCAAAAAAAATACGAAAATCACAAACATCCTGCACTAATTCCAAGGGGCCAGAGAGCCAGAGGCTTCCACTAATTAGTCACTAATTGTCGGAGACGAAAAAGACTATAAATGGAATCGGCGCAGAATTCATTATACAGAATTTTAATTTAGAAAAAAAAGTACAAAGAAGAACCACACACACGACTGGGATTGTATACTGAGGGAAAAACCCTAGTCCCAATTTTAGGAACAAAATTCTCTGTTGAACCACGTTTTACTCCTACATCTTGTACTTAAAATAAGAACAATAGTTCTTTAATTGGGACAAAAATGTTCCTTAAGTTAAGAACAATCGTTCTCGACCCATTTCCAATTTTCTTTGCCTTAGATTTTTTTTTCGGACTATTTTGTATTTATTAAACTGTTTTTTTTTTCAGTTTAATTTAGTATTTGCAATTTTATTTGTCACTAATTCGAAACTTTCCTTAAAAATGTAATTTTCAAATATTTTAAAAATGTTCTACTGTTTTTATTTCGCAAAATACAATTTTTAGTGTATAAAATGTAAGTTAAAATAATTTTAGATAACTTTAGTGAGCAAATTTAATTATTTACCAACTCTAAACATTTTATAGGATATATTATAAATTTAAAAAAAGTTAAGGTATAAATGATGCAGTAAAAGTCATAATTGTTGATTCGTGAGATAGAAAATAATGTTTTCCATGCGCCTTTATTTCTATTTTGAATAATTTATAAATTAAAATTTTACGGTTATTAGAAAATAGTGTTTTCAGGCACCTTTTTGCTATTATGAATAATTTATAGATTACAATTTTATGGTTATTTAAGTACCCTCTTTCAAAGGTAACATTAAGGTAGTTTTGCGAATGTAGAAATCACCCAAGTATGTTATTTATTTTAAGCTTGTAAGTTATGGACCAGAAATCCCTTTCTGATTGCCCCTGACCTGGCCATTTTCAAGTGACAAGTTCAAGTGGCACAAGTTCAAGACTTTTCGCGGCACTTTCGATGCCCTGTGTGTCGTGTGGAGCGCATCACTTTCGCTTTTTGTTTCGCTGTCATTTTGGTTCAGTTATAATCAAAGCTCCTAAATTGGATCCATTAAGTCACTTGAGATAAGTCCGAGAGGGGGCGGCTTAAGTGCCGCGTGGAGAGGCCACTCAACGCACAAATTGTCACGTTGACGTTGAGATATCAGTAAAAGAGCCCGGCTCTCTCAGGTGATCTCCATAAAATCTGGGACATCTGACATGACGGCAAACAAACAAGTGTGCTGACTTTTCATATCTTGTTGTTGTGCGGGGCTCACTTTATGCCCCCCTTATAAAGCAGTATTGGGCGACTATAAAGGATTCCCTTGAAGCAAAAAAATGTTAATGCTTGCTCAAATATTTTTCTAATGAGTCACGGGGGAAACTTTTCTTAAGTTTTGGCAACTAGATAATGATAAAGCTTATAATTATGATCTTAGTAGTATAACAATATTGATGTGAGTATAAGATATCACTTAAATCAAACAAACAATTTTGTTGAAAATTTTAAAATTAAAAAAATAAATAATTATTTGGATCATTTATCTTCTTCTTTTAAAAGAAATATAGCAATTATCATCAAAAATTTTCTTTTTCTAATTAGACAAGTATACTATCTCAAATAATATAATCACTTTTATTAACAAGAAACTAGAAGATTAAATTAGTGATAGAGACTTCCTAATACTGGGGGTTATCTGTTGAATTTCATAGCAAACCTTCCTTAATAATAACAATATTAATATTAAAACACTAGAACAGAGCCCAAGGTCCGCTTTGAGATGTCGGTGAATACTGGAAACAGTTGGATTTTGATAAGCCCGCAATCACAGCAGCTGCTGGGTCTACACTCATAAAAATTAATTTCTAAATTTTGGAAATCTCGCCATTGAATCGGCCTACCTTTGAAAATAGAAAAAAAATTTCTTGTTATTAGAAAATTGGCCTTTGAATACAGAAAACCTTTCTTGATGGAAAAAATTCAAGAAAGAATTTTTCTTAAAAATAGAAAAATGAAAATCTCATATGTCTGTTTTGCCGTCGCAGCCAAAACATTTTTGTACGTATTTTAGGACAAAATCACCTTTGAATATATGAATGAAATGACCCTAGAATATAGGAAAGTAGCCATTGACTTCCTTCGGCTGCCGAATGTTAACGACAAGAAAAACGAAGTGGGACGAAGGGCCTACTCGGCCCGACTACTATCCGGCTACCGACTTCTCTGATCCCCCGAGCGTCAGTTGTGAAAAAAATTCGTGAGTGATGGACGTGATTTTCAAGCGGATAAGAGGTGAAGCCTTTTTCCGAATATTCAAAGGTATGTAAATATGTATATAATTTTTTGTATAGCGGGCGTACAATTGTATGTATGTAATTAAAGGATACATTTCAAATCTCTTTAACAAGCGTATACCAATTTAGGTGAATTGTTTTTTAGCTAAGAGCTACGTACATACATACATTTGTACATAAATTTGTGGGTGTACAGTTCTATAATAACTTTATCTTATTACTCGCATTTTATTTATTTTTCAGAGTGAAAATACCTGCAGTTGCAACAGCCAAATAATTTGTTTGTCGAAGCTGTAATTTTGTTTTAAAACCTTCTAAGGTAAGAAAAATATGTTGTATTTGTTTGACATACTTATGTATGCATGTAAATATCTATGCATGTACGCGGCTCACCCGATCTGAAACCCGATTTTCAACCCTTTCATATTCTGCTCCTCTCTCTCGCTCGCTTGACCTACGCGTCGCGACGTTTCTCTCTACTCCTTCTTAAAATTGTCATGATCTGACCTGCTTACATTCGGTCTCCCTTCGCGCAAAGGACTGTATGTAAATATATATGTATGTATGTGGCTCTTTCTGAAATTAGATTTTCAACCCTTCCTTCTTCATTTTCTACCTGTCTTGCTCCTCTCTCGGTCGTCTGACCAACGTGTTTGTATTTTGGCTATTATTAACATTACATTATTATCTATTATCTAAAAACATCTATCTATTCTTATCTAAAAACAAATCATTGATATCCCAATAACTCTTTTTTTCCAGATGAGGAAAGCCGAAGAAAATAATTTTTTATGCCTGCAACTACATATTTGGATATAATAATGTTTTCTTAAGTCAAAAATGTGTTATTTAAAATTGTTTAAATGTTCAGTGTTAAATGTTTTAAATTTAAATAAATAAAATATGCAAAAGAAAAAACCAAGTTACATTTTATTTTTAGGGTTTCAGTGTTAATATAAAACTTCCCTTCAAGAAATATTATTTCTTAAATCAAGAAATAAAATTTCTTGAAAGGAAATTTAAACAAGAAAGAATTTTTCTTGTTCAAAAGGTGCCTTTCTAAAAAACCCTTTCTTGTTTTAAGAAATTTAATTTCTTGAAACAAGAAACAAACCACCTTTGAAACAAGAATCGCCTTTCTTGTTTTAAGAAATATTTTTTCTTGTTTTTATGGTGGCTTTCTAAAAAACCCTTTCTTGTTTTAAGAAATTTAATTTCTTAAAACAAGAAATATTTTTTCTGGTTTTAATGGTGCCTTTCAAAAAAACCATTTCTTGAAACAAAGGTGAGGTCGCCTTTGGCAAAAATTCAAGAAAGAATTTTCTAGATTTTAAGGAAATTCTTCGATTTTTTTTTATGAGTGTATAAACTGGAAACTATAAAATACTTATTAGGACTTTTTTCTTTATGTCTTTGCGCGGGGCACAGAAAAGGTGATAAGGAGCCAGGCTTAATGATAGTTCTTTTTTTTATTTCTAATACGTTATAATATATTTTCCCCCCTTGATTCCAGACAGGCGCAAATGGCAACCTCCTTGTGGATGTGACAGTGGATGCGAATGCTCGAGCGGATTATGCAACAGCGGCCAGACTTTGGAGAGATCGAGAGGGGTTCGCAGATAGACGGTTTAATTATCAGTGCCAGATTATTATCACCGCAGCGGCAATGCAGCGGTGATTGCCGACGAGGAGAGTACCGCTTGCGGAATGCATCTAGTTACCTGACTATTTCAAAAACATCCGAGCCGCCGACGAGAGCAGAGAGCAGCAGGTCCCCAGCCTTCAAAAAAAAATAGTATCCGGAGTGATAATTGCTAGTAATTAGCGGGGGAATTAAAAAAGAGAAACCTTTTGAGGGAAAAAAATCCTATCCAGTCATGCTGCCCACGGACAAGGGCAGTTCGGCGGTCCCTGCTCATTGCCAAGATCAGCAGCTCCTCCAGCACCTCCATCCACATCCGCACATCACCATCGCCACCAGCACCGCGCACCATGGTCACCTGTCCTCCGCCTGCGAGAAGCGTTTGGAGGCGGAAACGCCGAGAAGGGATCTCCATGAGCTGCTCCTCGAAATGCTGGACATGCTGATGTCCTGCCTCGTGGTGGCTCCTTGTGTGATTGCCTACTGGCGGGGAACCTGGGAACTGATGTTCGTCTACCTGTTCCCCGGCAGTTTACCCTTATCAGCCATGGCCAGCTTTCTGATCGGCGGACTGGGACACTTCTTCTTCACCGTCACGCAGAACTTCTTCAAGGAGCACATTCATCCGGACCGGAGGCGACTCACCTACTACGCTGTTTCCAGACTTTATACGGCTGTTTTTGGCATCGTCTGCGTGAATATGTGGCGGGGAGCCTGGCTGCTCTGCGACTGGCTGACCAGCGTGGATTCGTTGATCATCGTCTCCATTGTGACCGCCATTGCACTCATCTTTCTGGTGGCCACCAGGACGCTGAGGAACCTGGGTGCAGCCCCCTACACCGTGACCATGGACCACAAGAGCGACTACTTCGAGGTGGACACCATGTTCAAAATACCCGTAAGTTAAAAACTAAATCAAGGATAACGTACTATCTGAATTAAAATTGTTATTACAAATTAAATCAAAAAAGGATACAAATGGACAAATTATCAAGAAAATTAAATATTGAATTTCATAGTTATTTTCTTTTATTGTTAGTCTAAAAACAAAAATCAACAAAATTAAGTGTTGAACTTGATAATTATTTTCTTTTTAACAAAAATTGGAAGACATTTGATCAATTTTAACTTAGGGACCAAATCTAAAATGTATTAATAATAATAAAAATAAATAATAAATAAAATTCTATTAATATTTCATTTTTTAAGTAAGTACGCATTTTTAAATATTTTTTATTTTCAATTTTTTTATATAGTCTTTTTTTGTCTCTATTATATTAATCATAGATAATGTTTATTTCTTTAGTCAAGAAATGATTTCATACTTTAAAAATAAAAGAACCTATTTAAAACTTTATCAAACTTTGTTCCTTACTTAATTTTCAAATATATCAACCAAAAAGTGTACATCAGATCATTTATTCCGTTTAAGTTTATTGTTACGTATAAAATGGCCTTTTTAATTAACTTTACTCTTGAATTTTTGCAGGGTTTTCATCAACCTGGCCTGTATGTGTTGGACACCCTCTTCTCGGTCTTTGTGATTGGCAGTCTGGTGGTCATCGCCTGGCGTGGAGTTTGGGGAATCTTTGATCTGCTGCTGTTTCCCGCCGATAGAGCCAAGTCAGCCTGGGGATCGCTGGTAAGGAAACCCTCTGGAAAACTATCTAATTACTAGATATTTAAATCCCCTCTCTCCCCATAGCTCATTGGTTACCTGACGGTGTTTGTGACGTTCCTTATTCACCCGCTGATGCGGTACGTCTGCCGCAGGATCAGTGGACTCCTCAAGCTGATCATATGCGACATTTACTATCTGATGACTTTCTTTGGGGCTGTGAATGCCTGGCGCGGCATTTGGAATCTGCTGGATGTGTATCTGTATCCAGGTAAGAAACTATTTTCATACTCAGAAAATTTGGAACGAAAAAAATAGGCATGACCAAATGTTATACGGTCGAGATGAAATGTTCTTGAAATCAAGACGAAAATACTCTCAAATTTGTTTTTGAAGATAAATTTATCTTGAAATAGAGATGACCTATTATTCGCTATTTGAGTAGAAATGTTCTTAAAATCAAGTCGAAACTACTTTCGAATTTGTTTTTGATGATAAATTTGAGTAGAAATGTTCTCAAAATAAAGAAAAAAGTACTCTTAAATTTGTTTTTGATAATAAATTTATCTTGAAATAGCGATGAAATTAAATTATTACGTTTTTCCAGACAAAACCGAAACAAACCGATACAATTTTATATCGATTTAAAATTGTAAGCTTGCAATCTGCTTTATTTTACAAATTGAGAGATTCCTTTTTGTCTTAACGCCATTTTTTTTAATTTAAAACTTATTACATTTTATTTTCCTCCCCCAGATAACAAGTTGCTCAGCTTCTGGCTGACGCATCTCGTTCCTTTCCTGCTCCTCGCTGCCCTCAAGTGCTCCAACTCGATCCTGGTGCGCGGGGTGTTCATCGATGCCGAGGGCGTGGGAGCCGATAGCGTCGATATACCCATCAACTATGTGCGGCTGCACTTCCTCCGCGAACGCCGGAAGAAATCTGGCCACCAAGTCAATCCGAAATCCAATCCACAGCCTCCGCCGCCGCATTATTATTTAAAACCGGAGCACGCTTCACTTGGCCGGAATGCGGAGAAGGACAAGGAGGCCCAGAGCAGTCTCATCGAAAAGCCGCCCCATTCCCATCCCGCCGTGCAGATCGTTTAGGGATCCTGGGGGATAGGATTCCCGGCTCATTGTTACCGTTAATATCGTTTCTATGTCTAGATGTTAAACTAGTTTTAAACGCCTAAGCTTAATCCTAACGAGCTTACTTAAGAGTCACATGTTTAGCATTAACCCATAGATGTAGTACCAATCCAAAACCAGATCCCGCATCCCAAAGCTGTACAGAAAATTTAAGGAACGACCATATTTAGACCATAAGTATATTTGCATTTCCACTGCAGACTTATGTTTGCAAACTTTAACCTGGTGACGAACGCACCTTCACCTGGTGACCCACTCACACTAGCTAAGTGATAACGATTCAACTACGAGTATAAACATTGTACATTGATATTTTCATATATCGCAAGAAATAAATAAATAAATTTGTAAATATTACATATATAACCAAGCTCAAGAAGGAATTTAATTTTTTAGATAATTATAAATTGAATTTATTTGGGAAACAATTAATAAAATGGTTCCGACCAGTAAAACACATGAAATAAGCGTGGTTCAGTAGGAAACTCATCGTCGTTTTGAGCAGTTCCGAACCCAAGAAGACATCCTGTGAGAACCACTAGGCAACTGAGAAAAAAATGTTAAAAGTAAGGTACTTTATTCCTACTTTGGTTACTATGACTTACTTAAAGAATATTTCAGGAATCATGTTGTAACTTAAGCTCTGATTTCGGAACTGATATTTTGTTCACTAAGAGATCTCTATTTATACCCGTTTTTAAGTTTTGTTATTGAAAGGCACCAGTAATCGCCTCTAAAAGTGAAAACAGCTAATTCCAGGAAAATTTTTGCATTCGCATTCATTTTGTAATGACTGCAGTAGCCTTTGTTTACTGTTTCTTAGTTTTCGAATAAAATAAAACTTCAAGGGATTTTATACTTCCTTCTCAATTATTTATTTATTTAATAATTTTATTTAAATTAGTTTCTTCTTTGTCGTATTTAGAATCAAAACAATTACAATGATCTCAAGAAAAGGTTGGTCTTTAGTCTGCAATATTTCATCGCGTTCGGCCAACATGAAAAAAAAAATAATTTTTTAAAGCCTTATAGAATATAAGATTGAAAATATACAAAAAATACCATTAAATAGAAAATTTTTTTTTTTAATTTAATAAACTTAATTTATTTTTCTTTGTGACGTGAGAAGTTCTTACAGACAAATATGCTTTTAAATATAAATGAACACCATTTTTTTCTTGATTTAAGAAAATCTTAGTTTAAGACCCATTTCTATTAGCGAATGTTTTTAAATTTCCATAAAATTATTCATAAGTTATGAATCATAACTTTAGCCTCTGTGACTCTATATTATTTCTCTGTGTAGATCCTCTGACTGTATCTTTTTTCTCTGTATACTATGTACAATAGATTTATCGCTTATTTACCGCCTACTCGTTGAGCAGACAGGTGCGGACGAGAGCTCCACAAACGGCGTAGGGATCGGAGTTGGACCTGGGCCGCCGATCCTCGAGATATCCTTTGCCTGCCGTCGCCACGTTACTTGGCACTCTCACGCTCGTCGCTCGGTTGGCCACTCCCCATGAGAACTTGTCGATAATGGAGTTGTCCTCCCCCTCCTTGGGATCGTAGGCCTTGATGTGCCGCTCATGCTGCCTGCTCAGCTTCTCTATTGCCTCTTGGATGGTTCTAATACCGCCCTCTTCCCTCATCGCCTTCGTGGAGAACTTCGTGTGTGCTCCGTTCTTGGGGTCAAAGGTCACCACCAGGCCGTACTCCTCGGCGATGCGCTGCAGGATGTAGCGCGACACCCACAAATCATCGCTGGCCTTCAGTCCGCCGCTGGGACCCACCTGGTATTTCCACTGCGAGGGCATCACCTCGGCATTGCTGCCCGAGAAATCGATCCCTGCATACAAACAGGCTAAAGTATGGGCTTCCACTAGGTCTCTCCCAAAAACACGATTGGCTCCCAGGCCGCAGTAATAAGGTCCTTGGGGAGCCGGAAATCCATTGGCCGGCCAGCCAAAGGGACGTCCTCGAACATCCATTAAGAAATACTCCTGTTCAATACCGAACCAGGGATCCTCGTGATCGCCAATCCTGTCAACTGCCTCCTGAAATGCAGCCCTTTTGTTCGTTGCCGATGGCTTTCCATCAGCACTGTAGGTCTCACACAGGACAATCATGTCCTTCTTCCCCGGCTTAAAAGGATCCCGGTAGATGCGACGTGGTTTAAGCGTATTCTCACCATCCAGCACATTGTACATGGCGTACTGCCAATCCGGCAAATCCTCCACGCCACTGGGTACCTTGTCCAGAATGCGATCTTTCAAGCGAGTTCTCTCGCCGGAGGAGTCGATCCATAGGTAAGTGGCCTGCACCCGATTGGTGGGCGTCTCTAGGTTGCTGTATCTCTGCAGAATGCTCTTGTCCAGCGACGCATTGGGCGAGTTGGCCAAGAAGTGGGAACGGAAACGAACTAGCTGCCTCGTAAGGAAAAGTCTGGGTGCGTAGAATGTGGCCATTTTAATCCTTGATTGGCAACCGAGAAGGAAAAGCTAGGTAAGTGGTTGCTTGCCTACTTTACAGCTATGCCTGCTTACACGGTAATCAATGACTAAGTAATCGCTGGTCCTCTGGAGATTTTCGGATTGCCGAACTTACGGTTTCTGTTTGTAAGTTTGTTTGTCTGTTTGATGGTTAGTTAAAGCGAAGTAAGTGATTGCTTGTCTACTTTACAACTATGCCTGCTTACACTGTAATTAATGACCAAGTAATCGCTGGATCTGTGATGATTTTCGGATTGCCGAACTTACGGCTTCTGTTTTTGTCCGAAATTTCAAAGCAACTGATGGCTTTTTTATCATTTCGGTTCACTTCTACTCCGGTTTTTCTTATCGCAAAGGCAAAGGCCAAATAAAAGGCCCCCTAGAGAGCGACCAAAAAAAGACAACTGTTTAGAGCAGCGGTCGGCAGCGTCCTATTAAGTGAGCATAGGAAATTATTCTGCTCGAGCGCTGCCTCCACGTATACTGTAGAACATCGGTCTGCGCACACACACTGTTTAGCCGCCTCGTACAATTTACTCACACAAATGCAAAACAAAATGTAAAATGTAATGTAAATGTAATGTAAAACAAATGTAAATAGCGTACCGCGCATAATGAATTAAAACTTGGATTTCTCCTTTGCGCGACGTAAATTAATTAATTAATCATACTTATGGTGGTTATTTTCAGTTGGTAAAAATCTTTAAATAAACCCAATAGATCAAATACCATACCTTATTTTTTAAAACATTTTTATCGCCTACACAGCCGCCACTAAACGATTTTGAGTTTTATTTTTGATCGAAATTTTTGATCGAAAAAATAAAACTCAAAATCGTTTAGTGGCGGCTGTGTAGGCGATAAAAATGTTTTAAAAAATAAGGTATGGTATTTGATCTATTATTTTTTGATTTTTATATAAAACTCAAGGAATAACTGTTATTTTCCAAGAGGAAAATAAAACTCAGGGAATAAGTGTTATTTGTCAATTTTTATATAAAACTCAGAGAATAACGATTATTTTTTGAGTTTTAAATAAAAATTGCAAAAATAAAAATCATTGCGAATATGTAAAATACAATGTTTTATAATGACAGTGGTATAGTTTTTTTTTTTTTTGAGTCTTCCTTGTCGTTGATTTTTTTGTTTAAAAAAACAAAAATAACAGTTATTTTCGTTCCCTGGCTAAAACTGATCCATATAATAGTAAAACGTTCCCAGCAATCGAAATGTAAGTTTGGACCATAAAAACAATTTTGTTCGGATCAAGAATGTAACTCTAGAAATATAAATAAAAAATATTCAGACTGTATTTTTTAGGTTTTTTCCTTCCTCTTGGTTAAGCTCGAACGAAAAGCTAATATTCCATTAAACCAAATGAAAATGCAAATTAAATGCTTCTGTCGTTATTTTTTGACAAAGTTTTCAATGGACTAAACTTTAAGCCTTGAAGTGTAGGAAACGAAATGTGATTAAATGTTCAGTAATCTATTTATTTGCTCATAGATGTCATTTAATTAACACCATTATTCAAATGTTTATTTAATTCGTCTCTTAAATTAACTGGAGGGTTGATTGGGTACTGCCACGGCCATTTATATTTTGGTGTCGTTGGTGAAGAAATAGTAGGAAACACCGCCGAATGTTGTTTTTCAGTAGTGAATTCATCGTCGCTTTGGGCATATCCGTTTCCAAAAAGACATCCTATGAGAACCAAGAGGCAACTAGAAAAAATAAAGCTATTTCAATTATTATTAGTTCTATTGCAAGGGATTACTATGACTTACCCGAAGAAAATTATAGGATTCATGTTGTAGCTTAAGCTCTTGATTTCCGAACTGATATTTCAATCCCTGAGGGATCTCTATTTATACCAGTTATCACATTGTTGAACGTTTCTAAAATTCGAGTTCAGCAAAAACCTTGCATTCCAAGAATTGTTTTTCATTCGCATTAACATTGATTAGCGTTTTCCAAGAATATAAATAATAGCACCTAGTATTCCTTATTGCTTCGTACTTTTTTTAATTTGATAAATTAAATTCTTTTATATTTTTGTAAGTGACGAACTCACCCATATTTAGCACGAACCCTTACATAGATGTTCAAGAACGAGTATAATTGAACTAATAAATATATGCAAACAAAAATGGAATAGATGTTTGCCTATTTGGTGACTTTTCCAAGAAATCCAATAATCTGTTGAGAGTGAAAAATAAATATATACAATGAAGCGTTCTTCGAAAAATGAGTAAACTAAACTTAAGATTATCAGGCCTTATCTGTGGCTAACTGCAATGATTAAAAAATGAATGCGAATGCATATCAATTCTCGGTATAAAATCAATTGCTGAATTCACATTTTTGGTTGAGCTGCTTAGTGTCAGAAGGGGTATAAATAGAGACCCCACAGTTAATCAAATATCAGTTTCGAAATCAAGAGCTCAAGCTACAAGATGAATCCTTTGATTTTCTTCAGGTAAGTCATTGTAATCCCTTTTTGTAAAAATAACCTATATTATAATATTTTTTCCCAGTTGCCTAGTGGTTCTCACAGGATATCTTCTTGAAATGCCGAAAGCGAGGATGAGTTCACTACTGAACAACAACGCTTACTTCAGGTGTATGGCGATTCATCGGTGGATGAAGCCACTAGATATAGAAATGTCGACGATCTAGCCAAGTTCTATGACAAATACTCCTCTGACCTCTTATTGCCAAATCCCCTTAAGGAACGTGCCCAGGATATCTTTAGGCGGTATAAGGAGGAACAGTCTCGTGCTGTTGAAGTGGATGGTGTTCCGGCACAAGGAGGTTTCTGGGCGCCTCTCCTGAAGATTCTCATTGTGCAGCTGGGCGTGGAACTGGCCTCTGAGGGAATCAAACGTGCTACAGCATCTTAAATCTCAACTGGGAAGTATAACTCACCCAAAAAGATTTATTTGGTGTTAAATAAATAAATACATCATTATGAACAAAATATTCTAACTATTTGTTATTTTGGGAACTGGCTAACTGCGTTCTATTTAATTTTACATTTTTTTTGCAAAGAAAAACGAAAAGCGGACAACAAAATACTATTATTAAAAACATCTGACATCATGGTTCTGGAGTTACCAGCCCAAGAATGGAAATGGTTTTCCCATGGGTTGCATTTCAATGGAATCGAAAGTTTTCTCATGGAAAGGGACTTCATGAGAGGCATCAAAGATCAAAGATGTTTGGTCTTCTACCTGCATATGGTCGCAGTCTTCAAAGTATTCATAGTCTATTTCGTCTTCGTAGTCTTTAGCATTGCCTAGCCGAAAAAGGCATCCTGATATGATCACTAGGTAGCTGGGAATAATATTATAAATACTGTGCTTTTTAGAGAGGAAGTAAAAGAACTTACCTTAAAAGAAATGCAGAATTCGTGTTTTGTCTAAGCGCCGGATTTCGAAACTGATTTATTAATTGAGCTTTATTTATAATGATTTTAGTTTGGTGCAACAGGTTATTTCCCAAAAAAAAAATTTTTAATACAATCTAATACCGAAATCATTAACATTGAAAAATACTTTAGATGTTCTTGTGGAATAATCTCTGACGTATTTTTAATTACAATTAAATTGAATGATTCACAAGAGTACAGATAAGAGATTGAAATTGGGATGTAGGTTGAGCTGACTGACGATAATGAATGCAAATTGTAATTGATTACATTTTAAAAATGATTAATTTTAATAGAGGAATTAAGCGAGTCCCAAAATAATTAAAAGTTAGAATTTTATGATAAAAGTAATGTATTTCTTTGCTTATAAATTTTATTTTATTTTTTTATTATATAGTTTTGGATGATAGTTTTATCCCAATTGAGACTTAAGATGCTGTAGCACGTTTGATTCCCTCAGTGGCGAGTTCCACGCCCAGCTGCACAATTAGAAGCTTCACCAAGGGCAGCCAGAATCCTCCTTGAGCCGGGACACCATCCACCTGAACAGCACGAGCGTTTTCCTCTTTATACCTCCTCAAGAGATCTTGGGCACGATCATTGAAATTGGGTGACAATGCGAGGCGAGTGGAGTATTTCTCATAGAAAGTGACTAGATCGGGGACATTCCTAAACCGAGTGGCTTCATTTATCGAAGAATCACCATACACATGAAGTAGGCGTTCTTTTTCAGTGATGAATTCATCGTCGCTTTGGGCATTTGTGCTTCCAAGAAGACATCCCGAGAGAAGCACTAGGCAACTGGGAAAAAATTATTGAAAATTTTAATAATTATTTCAAAATTGATTTTCCCGACTTACCTGAAGAAAATAGTAGGATTCATGTTGTACCTTAAGTTATTGATTTTGAAACTGATACTTGATTCACTGTGGGATCTCTATTTATACCCCTTCTGACATAAAGCAGCTCAACCTAAAATGTTAATTCAGCTAATTCATTTTATACCAAGAATTAATATGCATTCGCATTTATTTTGTAATCATTGCATTTCTGTGGCTGATTAGTTATTGCTACGTAGTTTTCAAAGAACCTTTAATTGTATATTTAGTTTCCAAGGGATTATATTTAGCCAGCATAGAGTTATTTCTGTGTTCTGGGTTTCCGCTTTTTCTATCTTGGTCGAGGGCAAATTCCTAACACAAGGATAACACATTTTCATATTATACCATATGCATAGAGATTTCCCTTTCATCGAAGGAAAATACAAATAAAATGCACTTGTTGTCTGGTCTTATAAAAGTCTCACGGCCCATCTGATGCGCCTGCTATGAACTTGTCATTCCCCACATTTCTCAAAGGTGCATTATATAGAAAGCGAAATCAGGGGGTCCCAAAAACAAAGTCTCTGCATTGTTTTGGTTCAATACATTTTCGTGAGGCGATGAAAATGCACAATTATATTGTTAAATTGAGCAATGTGCAGACTTAAATCAAGATAATCGTATGATTTTGAGGCTATATACAGATATAATGGGTACATGTAGGGTATTTCTGCAATATGTTGATATTGAGGGAAGATTTAAGAATTAGAGAAAGGAATCACCTTTTAAAAGTTTTCTTTTTATAATAAAAGCATTAATTAAATAATGAATACTCACTTTTAAATTACACTTAAAAATCTATTATAATTTTTAAAACGATGTTTAACCGATCTCTTTCCAAAATCCCAACGTAGCGCACCTAAAAATCAGATATTGACCACAAAACTCGACTGTCTGTGACCGTCCCGAAAGATTCCTATCTCGTTCGTATTTTCTTTTCTAAAAAAAATAACAAGAAAAGTAAAGAGAAAGAGGCAGAATGCAATGGGCGGCTAAAATAAATACGCAAATACAAATCGAAAACGCAAAATAGAAAGCAATTGATATGCTACTTGGCATTTTAGTTTTAAATTTGCGACGGTTTGCTGAAAATCAAACTAGCGATCGCGGCGGAAAAAATCGCTTTTGAATAAAATAAATAATTTTCAAAAAATATATACTAAAGGATTCCAGTTTTTGTAGAATTTTAAACAAATATTTGCTGGTTTTTTAAGTGCGTATAAGGTGATAAAAAAAAGGCAACATAAAAAACCGAGGAATTAGGTGTTAAATTTACATAACCAAAAGTTCGAAAGCTATCGAAATGGGCATTCCGGATATCCGACTGTTGGTGACGCTGGACTTTGAGGTCTATGGACATGTACAAGGTGCGTTTGGGATCAGGAATCGGGGCTAGAAATCAAAGCGATCTAAAAATAAAACCCCCAAGTAGCTGGTTACTTTGGGGTGGCCCCAACTGTCCTTGGCTTTGTTTCACGCCCCATTCCACTTTCTCTAGACCATATAGAAAATATAGTAGCTCTGATATATCCAACCGGCAGGCCTGAATCTCACGAAAGACACCCGCGATCGCTGCACCAAGGCGGGAATTACTGGCTGGGTGAAGAATAGCAAGCAGGGCACCATTGTGGGGAAGATGCAGGGTCCCAAGGACGAGGTGGATAAAGTGTGGGTATTCCAGAGATATATATTTTGAATCCAAAGTAATGTATTTCCTTTATAGAATCACCTGGCTGTCCAGCGAGGGCTCTCCCGGCTGTCAAATCGATCGATGTGAGCTCCGCAACCAGGGAAATCTCAGCCGACTGGACTACAAAGACTTTGCCATCAGATTTTAGACGTTCTTCCGCCCAGATTTCGGTGTGCGGCATCATGGTTTTGTGTGTTTGTTTTGTGCATTACTTCGATAAGTTTGTAAATACGAGTAAATAATAAAGAAATTAATAATAATTTGATTGAAAGCTTAGTTTGACTTGGATTAAAAATTCAATTTCTACAAACCCCTAGGTTAGTTTTAGTTTTAAAAAATAAATTAAACAAAAACTCAATTAAAAACATTATACGTTAAAACATTAAAGTTTTCAAAAAATTTTATATTAAACAGGGAATGAAAAATTATTTAAAGCGCATATTGATGGAATTCGTTATTTCAGTTATAGGATTCATGTGAGTTATAGAATTAAATTCAGTTTATACCAGGGAAAGCAACTTTTTTGAATTGATAGATTAATATTAGTTTAAATTTTATACTCTCATAAAAGAAATAAGTATACTTTCTGAAAGGAACTACCAATCTTTATAAAAACTTAATCCCACTTACGTTGGAATATGAATCTGTTCTACACTTACTATTATTTTTTAAGATATTTCGACACATAAGCATTGATTTTTACAAATTCTGGCTTGGTAGTCATATTATATGGACTCATAAATAACCCGAATTCGTGAGTTTGGACATAACCGTAGTCCTTAGATCCAAAATAAAAACGCCTTCGTGCACATACGTAGACTGAAATCTATTTAGTTTTCAATACAGAAGCGTAACACTCGCTATACAACATCTTTTGACTTAGACTACATGTGTTTTTGTGGGGGTAATAATAGTCTAGCAGGACTGGAAACGACCGGCGGCCTTCATGCGCTCGAAGGACTTGTTGGCATCGTACTTCCTGTAAGTTTAGATAAGGATAAATCAGATATCTTTTAGGGATATTATGGGTTAGTATTTACGAGTAGAAGTCGGCGTAGGCGGCCTTCTTGGGATCGTTGACCAGAACTTTGTAGGCAACGGTGATCAGGGCGGTGAGGCCCAGAGAAATGGCCAGGTTCTTCTTGATGGTGGCATTGTGGAGGCCACGGAGCACGGGTCCCACGTTGGAGGTTGCTGGAGTGTTGGCCATGTCGCTGTAAAGTGAAGAAAAATCAATTATTATATTATATTGCTGGGCAGTTACGTAAGGTCTTCAAAGGTAGTGGCCAGAAATCACTTGAAAGGGTTTAAGTTCTCGATAGAAACTAACTAAGTAGATAAGCCTACTAATAACATTGCTTAATTACTTTTTTCCTATCAAAAATCCCCTTGTAAATGGTTCTAAAAAAGAAAATTCTTGTTATGTACTCACATTGCAAATTTCAGAATCAGAGATAGTGATGGGAGAAAAACCTATACTATCGGTGTTTCCATCAAGGTGGCAGCACTGCAAATATCGATTAATAACTTGACCAAAAATATCCAATTTGATTTTATGGCAGCAATTCCAATACGCTGTATTTATTTTACACATTTAGGAAAATAAATTAAAAGTTTAAAAAATAAGTGGAAATACCAGAAACATTAGAAACACAATTTAATAATTTACAACATTTTAAAAAGGGAGGTTTTCCAGTTTTAAATACAATACAATTCTAGACTAGTGAGAAGCTGCCAACTTGATTCGTATAAGTATGAGTCTGCTACTGCTTTAACCGCAAAATAAATATAATTTCTTAACAATATTAATACTTTTTTTAATAATCACAAAAAACGTCTATAATTAACAATTATTTTTAATATCAAATTTTTCAAACCGTACAAATCGGTTGGTAGCTCCACTGGTGCAGAAAACCGGTTGGCAGCCCCCTTTCCTGCTGGAAACCCGAAAAAGGCCGCCAAATTTAGGTAATTCCGACCCCCGCACGTCTGGCAACTCCGGCTGGAAAATAAAAATGGCTACCACTGTGTGCTTGTTATTGTTCGTGGAATTTTAATAATTACGAAGTTTTTTGTACAAAATAAACAGGATAAACGCATCGCTGCAGCGCCAATTGAGGGCCGAAAAGCAAGCGCGAATCTTTCGACATCGAACAGAGCTACAAACGAGTGCCCGCAGGCGAACGAACCGTGTGAAATTAAGCCCCCGAAAATCGGCTGCCCGAATGCGTGAAAATTTTCGAGACCCGCTAATAAAGCATTATTATTCGGCTGCCGGATGTGAAATGGATAACAGTGGGGGCCTAAAAACCACTAAATTGCCCTGAACAATAATCTAAAGGCGGGCAGGCGAGATTTCCAGCAGGAAAAGCGCTTGAAAAGTGACGCAGGAAAATCCGTATCCGCGCCCCGCACGTGTGTGTGTGAGTGAGTGTGTTGTGTGTGTGTTGGTGAGGCTACTACTAAAAAAAAGTAAAAAGCCAAAAGAGAGAGAAAAAAAATAATAGTGGAAAATGCCCAAAAACAAAAGTCGCAGAGGTTAAAAAAAACTAGTGGGGAAAACACGAAAAAAGACGACAATAATTCAGGCCTAAAATGCGATTTGTCCACTTGCAATTAAGATTTCAAACCAAATCCAAAGGACGCCACGGCGGTGAATCGAAAGCTAAATGCGAGAATTGAGCAGCGTTCTACCAATTAAACCTACGACGCGTGCGATTGTCGTGTGATGATATGCCACTTAAACAGGTGAGTTAATCGCTGTTTCGCTGCTTTTTTAAGCGCAACCGAACAGCTGATTTGCGATTATTGCACTTCAATCGGTTCTTTTCTTCTTCGTTATTTTGTTTTTGCCCTTACACACTTGCGTCACCCACGCAATAAAAACAAAAACAATAGGCGGCACTAATTTCTTGCTCTCAGGTGTTTCTTATTTCCAATTTCTTATTTCCTTTACCCCCCTTTCCTTTCCTTTTTTTTTTTTTTTTTGATTTTATTAATCAGCCCGCCCGCCCCCCTTTTTACCCCCCGCCTTCTTTCCAAGCAAGTATTTTGGTTACCTTTTCCCTCTGCCACACACACTTGCCCACCCATCACACACACACACGCACACCCTTCCAAGAGGCCAAGAAGAAAAATGGCGACGACGTCGGGGTATCGATAACAACCCGCAGAGCGAAGAGCGAGAGAGAGGGAAAACGCACGCACGCATGTGAAAATGCAACCTGTGGGCAGCAGCAGCGGCAGCCCCGCCCCCTTTTCCGTGCGCCGCGCGTGGAAAATGCAGTCAGCTGAAAAGCCCTTTGGGTTACTTAATTCAAGCGTTTAACTGTTGTCGAAACAAATTGTTGTTGGAATTTCCAATGAGATGGGCACTATGGCTATCCCGCTCTAGCAGTGTTAAAGGCAGGGGCAAAAACAAATGGCTATGAAAAATAATTTAAATATATTTTAATAACAAATAAATAATAGATTGGAAAGCTGTGCATTTCATTTAATATTAAAGTTTGGAAATGTGTGTTTTCCCCATAAATTATGGTGATCCAATGCCTGTGTGTGTGTGTGTGTGAGGGACCAGGGCTGCCAGACCCCACCGATAGTTATCGATAACATCGAGTGTCATCCCTAGCAATTTCACTATCTCCGCTCTTCTTCTTCTTGCCTCCTACTAAAATTCGGCTACTTAAATGTTAATTAATTTAGAAAAATGCCTGATTTTCTGCTACAATTGCAGCAGCTTGAACCGTCACTGGTGCGGATATTGGTCTCGCTCCCCTGGGACGCAGCTCAACGGCTGCGCCAGCTGGCCAACGATGGAAATCCCGAGCTGCGCGCCCTCAGCATTCAGTCGGTGCAATTCGAGGGCGATTCTGTGATAACTTTAAAAGTTGGTGGACAAGATATTAAGATAACCAAGGGTGAGTACTATCTATAATTAGTAAATAACCCTAGTTAATCTATTAAACTCTTTATAACAGATAATGTAAACGAGACTCTAGAGGCGGCTGGCTCGCTTTCGGGCAACAAAAGTGGTCTCCTAACCACGGGATTCGATGGCCCCAGTACCAGCAAGGCGGCCTCCGCCTTCTTGCAACAGCAACAGCAGCAGCAACAACAGCAGCAGCAGCAGCAGAGGATTCTGCCCCAGAACGATGCAATCTCACTTCAGCAAAGAAGAGCGGCGGCGGCGGGTCTGGGACTCCAAAAGATGCCACTCCAAATGCAACAAAATCAGCAGCAACAGCAGCAGCAGCAGCAACAACAGGTGGCCCTGACTCCCGCCGTCTTCAAATCCCCCAATACCGTTTGTCCCATGGAGGGCAAGGTGCCCCTGCTGCTTCCCTCGCCCTCAACCACCCGGGATTTCCCATTCGAGAGCATGCGGCAGGCGAGAGTGCTGCAGGGTAGGGAAACAGGAGCTGCTTTGGGTCCACCTTTGCCGCCACCGCCTCCGCCGCCAAATGTAACCCTCAAGGTGCTCAAGCAGGCACCGCAGAATGGCGAACTAACGCCCACAACGCCGCCAACGACGCCAGGAAGCAGCAACAGCAGCAGCGGGAGCAAATCTCAGTTTATCCAGCCACCGCCGCCGCCTTATCCCGGTTTGGGTGCTCAAACTGGAGGGCAGCAAAGCAGCAGCAGCAGCGTCAGTTCACCGATTGCCATAGCCAAGCCAGCCATTGTGACGGCACCCAGCCAACAGCAGCAGCAGCAGCAGCTTAACCATCCGCCAACGGCCACGTCGACGGGCAGCAACAACATAGCCATATCGTCGCCACTGCTGGTTAATCTTCTCCAGAACGACGGCAATGCCATGTCCAATCCGAACCAGCTCAAGTCGCCGCAACAGCAGCAGCAATCGCCGCTGATTGGCATGAGTCCCAGTGGAGCGCAGATGATGAACTCCCCCATGCGATCCTCTGGCCCAGCGACGCCCAGTGATTTCCTGATGGGCGATGTGCTGAGTCCGGTGGTGCCCTCCTCACCCACAACGCCCCAGGCGGCGGTGGCTCCACCTTGTCCGCCGCCCGTGGTGATAAGGAATCTGCAGCAGCAGCAACAGCAGCAGCAGCAGGCGATGCTCAGTCCCAGCGGCAATGGCAATCATTTGTATACTCAACAGGCGCAACAGCAGCAGCAGCCGCAACAGCAAGGACCACCGCCGCATCGCTTTCAACAGCAACATCAGCAAATGTCGCCGCAGGCAGTGGCCCTGCGACAGCAACAACTTCAACGACAGCAGCAGATGCGATTCATGCAGCCACAGCAGCAGCAACAACAGCAACAATTTCAGCCTGCACCTGGTAAAAAAACCTCTGCTTAGCTTTTAAGATCTGATTTCTATTCTATATTAAGTTGATTAGAGCCCTGCAAGAATGGATTCAATGAATTATTTTGAATTTTTTGTTTTATATAAATGAATTAATTCGAATTTTGAGTTTAATAGAATTGAATGAATGTAAATTTTGAGTTTAATAGAATTGAATGAAAGAATGTCAAACGACAATTTCTTTTGAAGAAAAAAGGGCCATCATTTTGTGATTAAATCTGCATGAATTTTAATTTCTAAGCACTTAAAATTGATTTGTTTTTTCAGCTTGCAACTTACAAAAATTCATAAAAATTATTCATTTATACATTCAATTCGAAATGAATTAGAAAAACATTCAATTTATTTCACACGAAATTAAATGATTTGATTTGTTAAAAATTTTCCACTTGTTGTTCTCAAAAGAAAGCACAAAAAAAAATGGCAAAATCGAAAAATTCTTAAAAATTATTGATTAATTAAATTAATTCGTAATGAATTAGGAAAACATTCAATTTATTTCACATATAATTGAATTAAACAAATCAGAAATTTCATGGCATACTATGATAAAACAAAAATTAAATTTATATTGACAGATATTTGCTAATTTTTGAAAATAAATAAATAAATTCACGCAGGGCTCTAATACTAATAAGACATAATTAAGACATCAGATTGTTAAATGATTTAACTAAATCAGTTGAAAATATATACTAAACTGAATTTTCTTCCTCTTAATAGATTGCTTCAACAACATGGTCATGAATCCCATGCAACAGCAACAGATAAGACATCAATTGAGACCTGGTGGCCTGCCGCTGGCTCCTCCGCCGCCTCATCCGCAGCAACAGCAACAGCAGCAGCAGCGACTGATGAGCCTGCAAATGACGCAAGCGTCGCCGCAACAGCAGCAGCAATTCATGAGTCCCGCACCCTCGCCCGCCTCCAGTCACCATTCGATGCACAGCCCGCTGATGCAGCAGCAGCAACAGCAACAGCCAGCTCCTGTAACTGCAACCTCTGCTCCCAGCGAGCATTTGCCAGCCAGCAATCCACACCATGTACCTGCAGCTCCGCCACCGGATTACAATCAGGCGGCGGCCAACTCCCGCTGGCCACTGGCCGGAATCAATAAGCCGATGGATTCGGCCACCAAGAGCAGTTTCCAGGAGTTTACGCGCTACCAGATGCAGTACAATCTTCAGCAGCAGCAGCAGCAAGTCAATTTGCCAGGGCAGCCGCAACAGCAACAGCAGTTGCAGCAACAACAGCAGCAGCAGGTGCAGCAATTGCCTCCCCCTGCGCTGCCGAATCAACAGCAGCAGCAGCAACAGCAGGCGCAGCAGCCACAGGTTGCTTCAAATTCACAGCCACAAGGTCAAGTAGATTCCCTGATGTCGCTTTCCGTGCTGGATGCCCTGACCACAAACGATTTGGATGCCCTGCTGCCCACATTAAACTGTGATCTGGATTCTACACTCAGTCTAGAGGATAAAAACGAGCTGGAATCGCTGTTGCAAGATGCCAAGGATCTGGATTTGGATTTAATAGAGGATAATCTATCAGCAGTTGATATGGATGCGCTGAATACGTTGGAGGCGCCACTGGAACAGCAGCAACAAACGCTAATGCAGCCGCAACAGCAGACGCAACAAATACTGCAAATGCCCTACCAGCAACAGCAGCAAAATCAACAGCAATTGCAACAGCAATTGATGATGCAACAGCAGCAGCAGAGGCAGCAACATGTGCAGCGACAAATGCAATTGCAACAGCAGCAGCAATTAAATCAAATGGTGCAGCAACAGCAGCCGCAGTTGCAAGTGCAGCATGTGCAGCAGCAACAGCGTCCGCCGCAAAAGCAATTTATCATTAATCCACACACCGGCGACATGGAACCAATGGCCAGCGACGATAGCGAAACGGAGGCCGAGGAGGAAACAGCGCAGCCGCAATTCCGTAACAGCAACATGAGCAACCTGAGCAGCTTTAACTTTAATCCCGCCAACGATATGCTTTTGCCGAATAATCTGTTTTCCGAGGAGGATTCAAATTCAGCGCAGCAACATCCAATGGGTATTAATAGTGATCAGGAGAGATCGCGCGATTCCTTGGCCTCAAATAAGTCAGCAACTAGTAGGGCTAGAAAAACGCCCGTCTCGAAGGCAAATCACAGTAATCTGGGTGATAATTCCCCAAGATCTAGCAACAGTTCGCCTTTAATTGGCTTGAACTCGCCGCAATCCATGACAGCTGCCGTTGGAGCGCCCAGCAAGAAGGCCAAGCCGAATCTGCTGCGCGGCAAGCTGCAACAGGGAGTGAAGGAGCGCAAGGCCAAGGATCCCACGGCCACGCCGAAACCGAAGAGGGAAAGGGCCAAGGGAAATGCCAAGACCAAGGCGGCCGAGGAGAAAATAAAGCTGAGATTGAAATTAGACAAGGTGGAAAATGCGCCGGCAGCGGGTGCAGGTTACGAAGGACAGATTATAATCAACCAACAGCAGCAGCAGCAGCAGACAATTGTAATAAACAACCACATGCAACAGTTGCCCATGCAAACGCAGCTAATGACGTTGCCTACGCAACAGCAGCAGCAACAACAGCAGCAAATGCAACAGCAACAGCAGCAGGTGCCTCAAATGCAGCAACAGCAACATCAGCTGCAACAAACTACACAACTGCAGCAGCAACAACCCTCGCAGATTCAGCAGCAACAGCAGCAACAACCTTCGCAGATGCAGCAACAACAACCGCAGCAACTCCCACAGCAACACCATCCTGTTTACAGCAACTTTACGCAACAGCAGCAGCAATCTCAGGCCATCCCCGGACCCAATGAACCTCGTGTGCCTCCCCTGCAGATTCGTTTGCGCGGCAAAAACCATGTGGTGGTCAAGAACACGCGAAAGGAGAGGAAGAAGGGTGCGAATCAGGAGGTTAGCTTAGATGAAAGGCAGCTTAAGCGCAGCTACAGCGATCAGCCGCCGCAGCAGCTGCTGATGGAACCGGTGGAGAATAAGCAGACGAAGCTAACGCCGCCAACGCCGCATGTCAATGGATTGCCTATACTCATACAGAAGACGACGCCAGTGGGATTACAACAAGGAGGAGTTGGAGTAGCTACCACCACCAAGACCACCACCATTGTGGCGGGAAAGAATGGGCTGACTATAAGTGCCATTGTGGAGGCTCACAAGGCGCAGCAAAGCCAGGCGCTGGCCCAATCCCTCAACGATCCGCAGCTCATAGTGGGCTCCACCAACACGGGAACCACACCCACGCCTACAATCACCACCACCACCACCCTGCAGCAGCAACAGCAGCAACAGCTGAGCAAAATAGCCACCTCGTTGCCCAGCAGCATTACTTTGAGTGCCATCAACAGCAACAATAATAACAATAATAATAACGCAAACAGCGGGAATAACAACAATAGTCGTCTGTTGACCATGAAGAATCCTATCAAGACTGCCGCCACCATTACGCCCATTGTGGGTGGCAAGCCGATGACAAAAAACCATAAGCCGCCGCCATACATCACAGCCGTGCAACAGCTGCAGCTGCAGAAGCAACAGCAACAACAGCAGCAGCAGCAACAGCAGCAGCAGCAACAGCAGCAGCAACAACAGCAGCAGCAACAGCAGCGACAACTGGCGGCGGCCGTAACCATGTTGCCCAGTGCGACGACATTGAAGCGTGTGGAGATCACAAAGGTCACCGCAACGCCGCAGGTCATCGAGCAGCAGGCAAGCAGCATCATAAACCCATCAGCAGTGGGAACAGCAGGAGTGGCCACTACGATCTGTGATAGAAAGTTGCCAGTGGTTATGCCGCCCATTACCACAGTGGTGGTTAACTCCTCCTCGGTATCCACCGCCTCCTCCGTGTCCATAATCACCACCTCTACCTCTACCTCATCGCCGGCTGCTCTGCCCAGCACGCTGCGCAACTCGCCCGCCAGCAATGGCAGTGGAACGCCCGGTCATGGCAACAATGGCGGTGGCGAGGACAGCGGCATTGAGTCGATGGATGCTCTCTCCGAAAAGAGTCCCCATCAGCTCTCCTCCAGCAGTCCCATTCAAGTGAGCAAGGCAACGGCGGCTGTTCAACAGCAGCAAATCATCACCACAACAGCAGCAACTGCGGTGATAGCCACGCCAGTAGTTGCAGCACCATCAAGTTCCCTGCAACAGCAGCAAAAACAGCAGGCTGATGATGAGATTGAGAAGGCTTTAGCCAAAATGGAGGGCGATTTTCCCGAGGATCTTGAGGATATTGTTTCCTCGATGATCAAGGAAACAAGCGAATCATCTGCTGGTGGTTTTCTCAACAGCCTGGAGAACTCGCTGCCAGCGGCAACAGTTGTGACAACAACAACAGCACCTGCAGCAGCCACGACGAATGGCGAACACCATATACTCGAACACGATGATCTCATCAAGAAACTCACAGATGGCAAGCAACCAAAGCTGGAGGAGATGCCACCGCTGCTGACCATCAAAAAGGAGCCGGCGATTAAGACGGTTGTCCAAAAAGTGGAAGCCAAATTGGAGGTAAAAACTGAGCCACCGAAAGTCGAGCTTAAATCAGAGGAGAAGTCGGTGCAGCAGGAGAAGCAGCCTTCCAGCGAGACAAATTCAACCGCCGCCGCCTCCCTGCAGCCCATTTCGATTGAGATACCCTCGCAAATAGAGGGTGAAACGCTGAGGAAAAGGACGCGGGCCAGCAGTCGATTGGAGAGTCCACTGGATGCACCCAAAGCGAGTCCCGATCCGGCAACAAATACTCCCAGCACCGCCAAGAGTCTTTCCCGCGCCTCATCCACCGCCAGTCCTCGAGTGGTCACACCCACGCCCAATCACAACAATAATAATAAGAGACGGCGGCAGGAATCCGAATGCGGCAGCAGTAATGATGGTGCGGATTCAGCCGAGAATAGCATTAAACGTCCCCGGGTGAGCAGCGGTAATGGAAGCGGCACCTCCAATAACATTGCACCTGCCGAAACGACGACCGCTGATGCAGGAGCTCCCAAGAAAGTGGAGATTGAGTCATCCGAATCGGACGAGCCGCTGATCGAAGTGGCCGGCAAGGTGCGAAACTCCAAGCAGGCGCAGGTGGAGGCCGCCGATGCGGCAGCAGCAGCAGCAGCAGCAGTGGATAAGCACGTGACGCGGCGAAATGCACAGCAGCTACAACCGCCGCAGAACAGTAAGTGGACTTTGATCGAGGGGAAGGTTGGGTTAAGGTTAAGGGGTGATAAAATATGTTTAGTTTCAAGCAGGGTTCAGAAATTGACACACATGTTTTAACATGTGAAAAATTGTATTTTACAGTGTGTCAAATATTTAAGTGTTAAAATGTGAAAAATATTTGTAAAAACACACAGCTCCCTTGTGTTTTTTACAAAATGTGTTATTAATATGAAGTGTTTTTTACACACTGTGTTTTTAACACATGAAAATTACATTACGAGACGAAGGGAAAATTAAAACTAATATATGTTAGTTTTAACCATTTTTACTCTAGAAAACCGCTGATTTTTCAGTTTAACATTAAACTCTGACATTTTAATGTCAAAAACTCATTGTGTTAAAAACACGCTGTGTAAAAAACACGTAGTGTAAATAACACAAATGTCATGTGTGTTTTATGTTTCTAACATATGTAGGATATATTTTTTTACACACAAGTCAATAACTTTTTTTGAACTAAACACTGAAACTTAACATGTTAATAACACAAGTTTTTTACAGTGTGTGTTATTTTTGGAACCCTGGTTTCAAGCTACCAAGCTACTATTTAATTAAGCATATAAATAAATGTTATTAATTTCCCAACAGAAACGACCGCTGCCACTCCGCCACTTGGAACACCGCGGATGGGCAAAGCTCAGGCGCCAATTGGAAACACCACTGCCGTTAATAGCAATCACAATAGCAGCACTTCCAGCACTCCCATTGCGGTGACCTCCACAGTGACGACGACTACGATGCCCGGCGGCGCCGTGGTGACCACCACCACCACCAGCCAAACCAACAGCAGCACGAATGTGGTGCATGCCACACGAGGAGCCACCGCAGCGGCAGCCAGCACCACCAATAATAATGCCAGCTCGCCGACGGACGAGAAGATCGGCACACGGCGGAGCGTGCGGGCCAGTGCGGCTGCCAATAAGATCATCTACAGTCGCAGCAATGCAGCCGCAGCTGCTGCAGCAGCCGCCGCCGCGGCAGAGCCGAAGGGAACACCTGGAAAGGCGGGAGGAGCAGCAGCTGTGGGTAGCAACAATGCGGGCAGTGTGGAGAGCGTAGCGGAAGCCCGGCGAAAGACCCGCAGTGCAGGTGAGGAAATATAAAATATATATAAATATATATATATCAATTAATGATTAATTACCCTTACAGTCATTGGCGAGTCCATGTTGACCGAGGGACGCCGGAGAAGAACGTCGCGTGACTACAAGTGACCAGAGTTTTGCGCCTTGGCTAAAGGCTTGAACCATCCGAGCGATGCGCACGAAGACGATCTGCTGCAGCTATTCGAAGACTTTGAGCAGCAACAGCAGCCGCATCAGCAGCAGCAGCAACAGCTGGATATCAATCACGGCAGCAGCAGCAGCAGCTTTCCTTTAGCCCAGGCGCAGGACGAGGATGATGGTGATGAGACGGCCGAATACGAGAATCTGGCATCGCGAGCAGCCGGCGGCTACATGGAGGAGGCCGATCACCTGCTGTCCTACCACAGTAGCAGCAGTGCCGCCGACGTGGAAGTGGATGAGGTACTTATGCCCGAGCTGGCCAATGCCACTGCGTTGGATTGCGGCAACTTTGTCGACTACGATGAGTTCAACCTCTGCCTGAACAACATTCTCAGCGAGGAGGACGACAGTGGCAGTGGCAGCGGCGGCGGAGAAGGCATCGCCACGAAACACCAGCCGACTTGGCGCGATGCCGGCGACGTACTGAACATCGTGCAGCTGAACAACGATTTGGGCTTGAGTTTCCAGGAGTTCGCCAGCGAAGCGACAACGGCGGATGAGCAGCGATCCGCCAGCAGCAGCTCGCCGCAGCTGGCGTAGTGAAGTCGAATCCACGGACGGCGGCGGCTACTTGTATATATATCACACGCACTGATACCGAACGCTTTCGTTTCGTAGTTCTTAGTCCTAGTTTCCGTTGAGGATTTTGTATAGTTAGTGGTAGCCACAAGTTGCAATAATGTTGCGTCTCATAGCGAGCAACATCACACCCAGAAACACTCTAACACACGAACACACACGGTTGCAAGCGCCAATTTACGTTTACACTTTGTTTTCTGCCCCCAGTCCGAGTTTATCAATCGTCTGGCACTGCTATTAATCCCCCAAGAATCCACCCATTGGAAATGATTTGCTAGTCAAGTGAAACAGGCAATTTAATGTATGTAGCTTATAGCTCAGAAGATGAAATTTGAACAAATTAGTTGAGTAACGCATTTGAAAAAGCTCCCCCTAAAAAACTAACGTAGAATAGATGGCTGAAACTGAAAGAAAAACATCTCCGCGAAAACTCTCTCACACGCATGCATAGTTTAATTTGAAATCTTATTTCCATGGACCGATCCACTCTGTAAATATTTTTTGATTCTTCACAATGCAACATGAACACATTTCTAGCTTTAGGTTGTCTTACTTTTACGCGCTGCGCCCAGTCGAAAGTCTATAAGAAGCTGGATCCGTTGGATTGAGCAGATCAGATCAGAGCAGACCGCACGTTTACTCTAGGTTTTATATTTTTTGTAACCATTAAACATATATGAATACAGTACATACATACAGATATAGCGTATTAGTTTCCGTAAGCTTGCGTTGTTTCGAAAAATTTGTTTTTTAGTTTTAATCGCTCTAGCCTAAGGACAGTAATCTTAACGCGAATTCTTTACCAACAATATATGCACATGGAAACCTATGCAATAAGTTAGTCAAAAATGTAAAAAGGCCAAGCACCAGAAAAAAAATGAAAACAAACACAAAAACCTACAAAACGAAAAAAAAATACAAAAAATATAATGCAAAAGGGAGGATCAGTCGCCTAGTGTTTGTCGTTTTGCAAAGTGAGAAAGAACTATATAATGTTATATATTTTGCATATGCAAGACACTTAAGAAAGAAAAAGAGGAATATCGTGAAAAACAAACCACACAAACACAAAAAAGTTGTATTGTATATAAGGCAGGCTCTATTTTTGCTAAATGTTATTTGAACAAATAGGGGAAAACAAAGAGTAAAGTAATTGAAGTAAAGCAAAGGCAAAGCGCTAGACAAAAACACAAAACAACAACATTATATATTGTTCAATATTATTATTACCTTATATATATTGTATGATTGCTACATAAAATAATTCTTTTGATACTTTAGCATAACTTGCATATATTCATATAGAACCGCTAAACTAAACGTATATAGAACCCGAATCCATAACTGCAAACCACACCAGCCACGGTCACGACCACGCAATAAACGCAAACCGGCGAGAAAATTGAAGCATATTTAGTGAACCTTATTTAAACACACACTTCGGACAGCCACAATAACCAACAACCAACAATTGCAATAAGCCAGCCCGATGAGCACACAGAAAACACGTTAATGGAAATGTTGTATAAAACGTATAAATAATTTATATACCGCTTCGTAAACAAACAGGCAACAAAACAACACACACACATAAATAGAAGATATATTTAAATATTTAAAACAAACCACACAAGATGAACAACAACAAAAAACGAAAGTGTCTTAAAACGTAGTATTAGAAGTTTATTATTAATTTGTTTGTACTTTAAAGTAAAATATTTATAGAAAAAGAAAAAATACAAAGATTTAATATACACAAAAAATAAAAAACACCGGGTTTTTAATTTTGAGGGAAACTTATATCATCGTATATATTTTTTAGAGAAAATATTTTAGTGTAAAGTGTAAAGTGTGGGATTGAATCACAATGTCTAAATATCGAAAATATCGATAATTTGCTATTTCTCGATATTTGATTAGTGTTTCCCTTCCAAACGTAGATATTATCGAAAACATCGATAATTTTCCAGCTGTAGTTTAAAGGTTTGTAAAGTATTGGAATAAGAATAAACTCTAATTAATATATAAATAAAATCTAATTAAACGTTTTAATTTATTTAGTTTAATATTTATTTACCTATTATAAATATTTTTTTTCAAATTTTAATTTATTTTGCAAACTTTTTCCGATGATCACATCGAGACCCGAAGGTCCTGTGATTTTTTCCGGTGGCCAGCAGCAACATTCCCACGGTCCATAAGCTCTCATTCTCTCTGCGCCGGCGCCTGGCAAAGAATTGTCGGCTTCCGAGGAGAGCTGGACTAGGACTACCAGCAGGGACCCGCAGCAGCTGCTCCTGCCAGTTGAGAGCGAGTGGCCGACGCGAGCAGGACGGCAGAAGCGGAGCAGGCAGCAGGATTTCCAGGAGCCACGAGCAACACGTAACCGAGCGGCCCCAGGTGAAGAAGGAGGGGCAGCTGAGGCTGAAGGAGCAGCAGGCAGCCATAGGCTTTCAGTATACACAGAGGGAGCTCCCCCCCAGAGAAAAGGATATATATATATAAAAAAAACGCCTGCCGCGCTTTAAAAGTAAGTTTAACTATATCCTTTATAAAAATTACAAAGGGGATTACTTCCCGAACCCGCAGAATTATACCAACAGATGTGCTAGCCATCAGATAGCCAAAGCTTTAACTGCTTTCAAGTGGTCTCCTAGGTGTTGTGAATACTTAACTGGCAATTCCCAGTCCTGGCCAGCAAAATGACCCCATGGCAACATTAACCAGCTACTGGCAACTAGCAACTTGCAACGGCAATTGCATGTTGACGCTTAAGGATGACGTCCTACTTTTCGAGAGAGTTTTTTTTCGCCGTTTTTCGCTCAAGTGTGTCTGTGTTGGGGCTATGATGACGTAGTTTGCTGGCCTCATTGCTTGTGTGTGTGTGTGTATGCTTGTTAGGGTGTTTGTCGCCTGGTGTGTACACACCAACAAGTGTCGCCTGGCCAAAGCGACCGAAGGGGGAAGGGTGGCTGAAAAATTAATGGGAGTTACTTGGCCAAAACAGAATCCAAAAACAGAATCTGTAAGCTTTCACTTACTTTTGTGGTCTTGAAAAGGGTATTTCCATTTTGTAGTGAAGTTCAAGAAATTTTATTTTAATATATGGTAATCGAATTTTTAGGATGTCGTGGAAAAAAAGATTTTAGACAAGACAAGTGCTATAATAAAAGTTATAATATTAATAATAAAATAATTATTTTATAATGTTTTTTAACGTCTTAATGTAGTGAATGAAAGATGTCGTAAAAAAAGATCTAAACTAGAATTTTTAAAATTTAATTTACCATTTTAGATCAGACAAGTTTTAAAATAAAAGAATAAATATTAAATAACAAAATGTTATACAATTTTTAACGTCTTATTGCAGTAAAAGAAAGGCTTAATGAAAAAATGATAATAAAATAATTAAACGAAGACTATAATCGCTTAAAATAATTCTTAAAATAATAATAAAATATTTCAATTAATATTTTATATTTGATTTTTTAAAAGATAAGATTTTGGAGTTTTAAAAACCTAAAATGTTATACCATTTTTAACGTCTTATTGCAGTAAAAGAAAGGCTTAATGAAAAAATGATAATAAAATAATTAAACAAAGACTATAATCGCTTAAAATAATACTTAAATTAATAATAAAATATTTCAATTAATATTTTATATTTGATTTTTTAAAAGATACGATTTTGGAGTTTTACAAACCTATATTGTAAAAAGGAAGTTTTTTAATATCTTATTACAAAGAAGGAAAAGGAAAAAATGATTAATTAAACAAAGAATTAAATCTCTCAGAATATTCTAGGAAATATTTATAATTCTTTAAATATAATAATATTAATATTTATTATATTTATGACTAAAAGTAAATCTTTCTATTTTTTCAATCCCATTTAGAAACCGCCGAAAGCCCGTGGAACATGCGGCGAGATCGCTGCAGGACTCCTCGGTAGATTCGCAAGATGCTCATCCGCCTGCGCTATGGAAGACGTCTGCAGACCTATCTGAAGATAGGTGCCTGTGTGCTGGTGGGCCTGTGCTACTTTGCCTTCCTCTTCCGCGAGTCCCTGAATGCCTACGAGCACCGGGAGAGGGTTACGGCGGCGGAATTGGAGGCGGACTCGGCGGAGCCCTCGAAGCAGCAGCTCAAGCTGAAGCGTCAGCAGTTGCAGCGCCAGAGGATTTTGGCCAAGCAGCAGGAGCAGGGAAAGGCAACCACGGGTGGAAATGCCAGTGCCGGGAGCTCATCTCCGCTGGCTGGTGGAGCAGCTCCTCCGCCGCCTCCGGCCAGCACTCTGAATCCCGTCTATGAGTACTCCGAGGAGCTGCACAGTAGAACAGAGCGGGAATTGCAAAGGAGGAGTGAACATCTGGCCGCCGTCTGCGATCGCTATAAGCTGCAGGAAAAGTACCCACCGAATCCCTGGGAGTTCTTCATCTCACCTGGCCACAACAATCTCGTCTGGTTAGTGCGTTGGGATCTATTTCTTAGGATCTTATTTTCCAACCATATGTTTGGTTACTTTCAGGTGCAACGTCTTCAAGGCAGCCAGCAGCACGTGGATGTATTATTTTAATATACTGGGTGAGAAAGATTAAAAATAAAGATTAAAGATAAACAAAGTTCTAGAAAGGAAGCCAGAATAATTAAATTGAAATTTATTATTATTATACACACAAAAAATATCATGTAGTTAAAAAATCTATGTGCGCATGTAAATTTCTGGTAATGCAATACGCATATCTTTTTAACATGAAATTTCCATTTCGAGCATATCGTACTTTCGGGGCCGCATATCAAGTTAAAATTAATATTGCATAATGTAAAATTGATCTTCGTTTCATATCAATTTTTTTTGGGAGTAATTATAATTATAATAAGTTTTCTCATTTATGGTATAAATTGAGAAATTAGAAGGAGTTTTTCTGTCTGCTACCTAAATCACCTTTGAAATGGCAATTATTAAAGTTATAAAAAATTACCGCATTTTAATGGAAATTCCATGTGATTATTAGTATTATTTTATTAAAGTTGTTTAACATGACATTTTGATTGATCGTTTCCGGGAAAAGCTTTTTCGAACTTTCATTCGAACTCTTTTATTTATCTATTTTTCTGATTTTAAACTACCTTTTTAAAGTAATTGAAAACACACAAAAAAAACATGTCGCCGAAAAATCGATATGTGCATGTAAATTTCTGGTTATCCAAAACTCATATCGTTTTTACATTAAATACTCATTTCGACCTTATTAAATTTACCTGGCCCCATATCAAGATAAAATTGATATAACATCATGTAAAATCGATCTACGTTTCATTTCAATTTCTTTTTGGGGTGTAATTGACCATATTATCTATCAGAAAAAATTAAAAAAAAAAGTATAAAACAATTTTAATTTTAAATACCAATAATGATTAAACTTAAAGACATATTAAACTAATACTCCTATGATTTGTTTTCCAGCTGGCTACGATGTGAAGTATCTGCAGCGGACGGAGACTCAACCTCTGGAGCTGGCGAGAAAGCGCTTTCCCCGCCCGGAACTGGGCGAACTGATGGAGCTGCTGCCGAGTGCCCTGTCCTTCCTCTTCGTGCGCGATCCCTTCGAGCGGATACTGAGTGCCTACCGGAATAAGCTGGAGGGGAATAAGAACACCTTCTACAAGGCGCTGGGCAACAAGATCGTGCATCGCTACAGGAGGCGCAATCTGGGCGGCCCCTGGCCAAGATGTGGACCCACCTTCGAGGAGTTTGTGCGCTTCCTGATTGCCGAACATGCGGCGGGCAAGAGATTCGATGAGCACTGGGCTCCCGTCTACAGTTTCTGCACTCCCTGCAGTGTGAACTTTACTATCATAGGCAAAACGGAGACTTTTCAGAGGGATTCGGAGTTCATAATACGGCAGGCGGGACTGGAATCCTTGCTCCTCGGATTGGGAAAGCTGCCACAAAGGAAGCAGCGCAAGATTGGCAACCAGGCGCGAAGTGGTGTCAAATCGGAGGCTCTGGTCGAGCGATACTTTGCCGATCTCGACCGCTCAACGTTGGACCAATTGCTCAATATATATCGCATCGATTTCGAGCTCTTTGACTACGACTACCGCAGGTACTACGACATGGTGCATCCCTGGAGTATGGAGCAGACCACATCCGCATCTGAATCCGCATCGGGAGTGCCACTTCCTGTTGCATCCACCAGTACCACACCTTCTATAGCCTCGGGTGGCCATTCCACCCAGGGTCAGAGGTAGGATAGTCAAGCAGTTCGGCATCGATCAGTCGTGAAACAATCTTATCATGTACCTTTTTACACGAAAACTCAAACCACAGACAACAAACGAAACACTCTCACACGATTAACAGAACAACTAAACCCAACCGAAGCTAACAAATCTACCAAAAAACCAAAAAAAAGTTTAAGGCCAAATCAACGTTTTCCAAAAACGAAAAAATACACTCTTGACCTCTCTTAGGTAATGCCAAAGAATGAAAAAAAGTGGATAAGATGAAACGACCGAGGAGGAAACTTAGTTAGAAGATGTAGCATTTTGATGGATTTTTTCAGCCACCAAAATTCTTACACAAGACCCTACAATTTTACATGGCGTGGCATCTGTTGTGTTGTAGCTAGTTTATAAGTACCTACAATTTACAGTTGCACTCTCAAACCAAACGAAACACACAAAAAAAACGAAACGATATATTATATAGTTAAACGATAAATATACAGACCTCTATACCAAATATCGCGAACGCTATTCTTCATGGCAAGGCTGGAGAGTTTATACAACCAGAAAGTGAGAAATCGTCTTAAACCAAAGAAAATTCTGTATTTACACATATTTACAACCGAATCCCCAAAAATACCAAACCCTCAACAACCACAACATATGGTACTTACTATTATTAAGTTATTATATTTACCTATATATTAACGAAATTTATAAACAGGTCTTGATCTAAGTCTATAACTTTTGTGGACTAGATTCGTTTTTCCTAGGCTAACGAAACAAGCGACAAATTCGATATTCAAGTTTTCAATATGAAAATGATACCAAAGAACGGATAGAAAGTATTTGAAACTTATAAAAGAAAGAAAAAACCCAACAACAAGAAAAACTTTTCATGTGATGTTTAAGGATTTATTATAAAGACAGAGAATATTTAATTATTATACTTATACTGTATTTCGAATAATGATAATGAAAACGAAACGAAAAACAAATTAGTGACATACACACGATATTATTCTAAATAAATTTAAATTTTCAAAACTTTTTTCGTTGTATAAATACAAGGCAACCAAGTCATTAAGAATAAATAATCTCTTTACCACTCGAAAAGGATGTTTTATTTAATTTCAGGAACCATTCTTTAGTCAAGTTTTCTAAGACCCGCATTTCCTAACTACCCATATTTATTACTTCTATGACAACCCTCGACCATGCTGTAATATGTGATCAACTCGTGAAAAGGTGATGCAATCTTTTCTAAAAGCTCTGTAATAGATTAGCTCACATTTACAGTTGCAATTGTAATTTGTTTAGCTGATTTTTTTTTGATAGTACCTACTATGAATCATCTCCAGCAAAAGCGGAAACTTTTCAAGGGCGCCTGGCAACCGTTAAAAAATCCCCTAAAACAATTAGCAATAAAAAACCATTGTAAATTTTTCTTTCATCATTATAAATAGTTTTATTTTCATTGATCAACACAAACGAGTTATTTAAATATGCATATAGATAGGGCTGCGTACGCATAGTTATAGTTATAATAATCATATGTATTTTTCTTGTGTGCTTCACTGCGTTTTAGTGTAAAGTGTAATGCTTTAGCATATGGATACAGTGATTGGCATAAAATTAATACAACTTTAAAAGTGAATGCTTGCTCTCACATGGACTACGATTTACGACACCAATCGATCTATATATACGTTCTACAAATACATATATTTTGTGTGATTCCTCTTTTCATTTCTCAAGTTTCTTAAACTTTGATAACATTTAGTTAAAGCGCTGTGACCCACACGGGCAACCAAAGCAGCAAACAATAAATAAATTGAGAACGACAAACATTAGGGTATTTATGATTTAAAATTATTTATTGCAGAATATATATGGGCACTTCCAAAAAAAAGTCCACCAAGCCAAAAACCTTGAAACTTGAATAAAACATATTTCCACATGATTTTGCCCCGATATTAGTTTCTAATTAGTTGGATACTGAGCTTAACTACAAATTTGGAGTACAGTTTGATTATTTTTATGACAAACCCCACCAATATACGAAAAAATCACTTTTTGGCTATTTTTTTGTTATTTTTTGGACCTATCTTCTGTTGTAAATTTATCCTATAGGAATGCTAATATGTGACATTTTTCTGTACAAAATGCTTCATTCACATGCTAAACTATTAAGTTAAAAGCAAAACATCCAGCAATTGAGAGATAGAGGTAAAGAAATCCGCTTTACAAAACAGTCGGAAAAAATGTCCCGAGCGACATGTCCCGAGCGAATGTGGTTGAAACTGCATAAAAAAAAAACGGCAAAGAATTTTTGAGTAAAACCAAAAGCATTTCACAGCGACATGTTTGAACGACATTCTAAAAAAAATCGCATTCAAATATTCCATCAGAATTAACTAATTTCTGGTGTTGTATGAACTTCCCCGAAATCCACTTCTATTTTTGTCCCGAGCGAATACGGCAGTTTTTTACCGATATCTTAAAAACTAAAAGTGGTACAAAATCAAGATTTTTACCAAAAATAGAGCTTGGGAAGAGTGAAAGGAAAAGCCCATAATTAAAATTTAAATCCATTGTTTTACAATTTTTTTTCAACTTTAAAGGTGTGCAAATGTCCCGAGCGACATTTTGGAAGTGCCCATATTCATTAATTCTTTTCAGATTTCTTTCGTCTCTCACGTTTTTTTGTTTGAATGTGCTCCTCGCGTCTCTTAGGTGTAATGTATATGTTTGTTTTACTACACAATAGTTTAAAGTACAAATAAAATAAAATAAAATAAGCTTAGCTTGCAACTAAAATTATGTACACAATAGGAATATAGATATATATAATATATATAGAGTAAATATAATTAATTGTGTAATATGTACAACAGCAAATACTTGGTAACGTTTGCCTACAAATATAATATTTTTTCTTTCTGTGCATAAGGAAACTTGGGATGCATAGGAGAAGGTGACCCCGATTAAAGGTCACCACTTGGCTATGCAAACAAATAGCATGTGTGTGTAGGTATATAAACAGGTTAAATAAGAAATTCTCTTGGGCTGAGACCCTAAGGATTTGTTTAGCTCCGAGTTTTGACGAGATCTATATAGTTATAAACATTCACGATTACAAGATGGATAGTTAAACATGCACACACATATATGTTGTTCTAGTTTTAAACATAGAAATAGAGACAAGCATGCATCGATATCTAATAGTTAACACTCGGTTTTGGACACATCTAGAACTACTGGCGCCATGGAACTCCCTGCTCTGCTGATCCCCTCCAGAGTCTCTGTCTCTTCGCTCTCTCTCCTGATCCTGCATCTCTTTTCCTCCATCTCCTGAGACTCTGAGGTTACTCGGCCAGTATCATCTTAATGCTGGCCACCTCGGACTCCAGACGCTCCAGCTGCGACTTGAGCATCTGATCCCGCTCCGCACTGGAGACCACACTCGCTTCCTTCGGAGTGAGTAGCTTCCTCTGCAGCTGCGCCGTCCACTCGGCACTCGCGATGGAGATGCCCGAATCCCTTTCATCGCTGGAGTTGTCACCACCATCGTTCCAGGCCGGCGGCGATGATCGATTGCAGTTGGGCTCCTGTTTGATGTGCTGCAGGGAGAGCAGCGCCGTGGCCGCCGCATCCTTGTCGCCCAAATGGGATTTGTGGCGCAGCTTGAGGGGCAGACAATTGTTGGCATCGCTGCCCTGCTGTTGCGAACTGCTCCGCTGGAGTTGCTGCTGCAGTGGTTCCTCCCTTTCATCATCGCCGGAAACGGCGCCCGATGAAGAGGCGGAGGATAGAGCAGAGGATGAGGAGGAGGATGTGGTGGAGGATAGCATGTGCTCGTAGCTGGGCGAACAGGCTGCCGCTCTGCGCGAAAGATTCAGCACACTGGCTGCGGGATTTCCGCCGCTAACCACCGACGAACTGCTCACCGCATCCACGGCACTGCTGCTCACCGTTGCCTCCACATTGTGACTCCAGGAGGCTGCGGCAGGAGCGGGCACATAGAGACCAGCGGGCGGAGGAGGTGGTGGCTGAGCCACCGCATTGTACAGAGCTCCGGCGGCCACCGCCTTGCGCAGACTGTCCAGATCCTCGGGCCTCACATTCCGATTCAAAGCCTGCTGCAGTTGCACCTGGAGATTGGCAATGGTGCTGCTGTTTGGCGGGCGCTGGTGAGGATCTGGTGAGCCACTGGCACTGGGACTGGCATCCTGTTGCTGCTGTGGAGGCTGGGGAATCTGCTGCTGCTGCTGATGAGGCAGATGTTGCTGCTGCGGTTGGTAGAGATGCTGTTGCGGCTGAGACTGCGGCACAACTAAGAGATGCTGCGGCGGAGGAGGCGGAGGAACAGCCAGCTGGACATGATGGACACTCTTCACCGTGGCCTCTGGCCGGGCATTGCCATTGGGTCCGTAGATCAGGGGCGAGAGTGGTGGACCCACTGGGTAGCCATTGTGGTTGCTAGGCGGCGATCCCTCACCCGATCCACTGCCCGACGGTGAGGATCCCGAGGAGGAACCTCCTCCGCTCATCTTGGCCCGCTTCGTGTTGCTCAGCACCTGTTCGCTGGTGGGCAGCGAGGCCAGGATCTTCTCCACGCTGACCAGATTCTCGCCGGAGATATTGAACTTGTCGCGTATGGCGTCCAGTTGCGCCTTCAGCACATGGTTCTCCTTGGTCAGCTCGATGACGCGCTGCTCGAGAACCATGTCGTTGTAGCGCCTCTTCTCCCGACTTCGCTTGGCCGCCTCGTTGTTTCTTCTCCGCCGATCCCAGTAGCTCTCGTCCTTTTTGTTGTCGGGTGTGAATTCCCGTTGCTTGCGTTGCGAAAAGAGCTCCTTTTGGGCCGCCGTCAACGCCGATTGGGGTCCATTGCCACCCTGCGAGGGCGATTGACCCATCATGTTGTCTCCATAGCCGCTGCCAGGCACAAACTTGCCCAGACTGTCGGACATCCCGCTGTCATTCGACTGCGGACTGATGGATCCTCCGTACATGGACAAGGGATGCACTGCAAAAGGAAGAGAAAGGGATGGTTAGTTTATGGTTTTTTATAAAAGATATGATGGTGGTATGGTAAAAATAAATGATATGATGATCGGAGGAAGTGGATCATCTTATTTTTCTTAAATACTACACCCAAAAAAATCGATATGAAACGTAGATCGATTTTACATTATTTAAGATAAATTTGATATTTAATTTTATATGTGGCCATGTAAATTTGACTTGGTCGAAAAGAGTATTTCATGTAAAAACGATATGACCTGAAATTTACATGGCAATGTCGATTTTACGGAAACATGCTTGATTTTGCGTGTAAGGATAATTTTGATCGATAAATTGTTTATCGATCATATCGTTAATAATCAATTTAATATTTTATAGAACAGAATATATAAAAAAAAATTATAAAAATTGTAATTATTTTGAAGTACCATTTATTTTTTTATGGGTTCCATAAGTAATAACTTACAATTAGATGCCTCGTTGGAGCTGCCGTTCATCGACAGGGTCGGCGATATATTCGACAGCCGGACGTTGTTCATCATGGCGATGTTGGCTTTGTTGTGGCTGTTGGTGGGCGTTCCGCTGAGGACCTCGGGCATTGCAGTGTTGGCCACAGATGCCTCCGGATAGAGTTTCGCAGGTGGCGCTAACAGGAGCAGCGACTCCTCCTTGCCTCCTCCAACTGGGGGGCGTGGCCCGTAGGGAAAGTCACTGCCGCTCAGCTTTTGCTGGCTGTAGTGATGCAGCTGCGCTAGCTTCTGGTGCAGTTGCTGTTGTTGTTGTTGTTGTTGTTGTTGTTGCAGGTGGGGAACTGCAATGGGAAGATAGAGAGGAATGATTAGTTATTATGCTTATGGGTTCAAAAAAATGTATTCTTATTTTAATGATATAACTTTTAAGATATATGTTTTTGACGTTTCCTAGATTAAATTCCGTTATTTTTTTAGTTTTATGTTATTGTTGCATTTAATTTATACTTTTATAATTACAAATTACAATCACTTTAATATGAACAAAAATAATTTTACCTATTTTCAGTGTAACCTTAAGGTTAAAATTTAAAAACTATAATATTTTCATTCCTTTCTCTAAAAAATTCCGAAATTGTAATTTCTAGGCCCCTAATTTCCTACGCCTAGAAGCAGGCAACGCTTTTCGTTGCTCGCCCAAAATAATAAATAATAAATAAACAAACAAGACCTTGCTCCCAATCGAAATCGCAGATTGTGCAGAATATCTCCTTCCTGCCACCATAATAACAAATTCACTTATCACCCATTTGTGGTATTTCTTTCAAAATATTCTTATCTAGGAATATACTATATATAGTAATTGTAATCAAGTTGATAAAGCTGACAGAATGACAAGAGGTGCGCCATTCAATGCAAAATCCGTTGGGTCCCCAAAAAGTCTAATGCGATCTTGTCTGGCTAACACACACAAACTAACACACACATAGAACTTTCTTTGTTATTGGTCCTTGCCCTTGCTTTTTGCCCTCGTCTCTATAGCTTTACCGTTTGCTTTCGTTTTTAGCACAGGCATTTCATTTACACAATGATTACGGCCAATGATGCAAGAATCGGCGAGAGAGAGAAAGAGAGAAGGCGAGAATTAGACGACAAAGAACCAACACCAACAAATGGGGGGGCTAGAATGTAAACAAGAAATCGCACATTGCACGTCAGTGTGTGTGTGAGGGCTCCCCCGCCCTCTCTTTCTGCTCTCTTCTTCTCCTTCTCACCCTCACCATGACCATCGAATTGGCATTTACAGTTCAATGTGCTCGCACACACACATACCCTAGCACCACTCTGTGTGCCAGACTCTGCCGACGTTGACTGCGACGCCGACGGCGCAGCTGCCGGCAACCCCTAAGCGGGAGAGCAAGAGAGAGCGAGCAGCGCTGCAGTCGGCGTCTTGACAAAATTCACAAAAACAAAATGACTAAGCTCCGCCAGTCACTCCGCGCCACCTCCCCCCACCACCCCCTTCACTTTTTCGGGAATTTTTGTTTTGCGTTTCAATCAGTCGCGTGTTATTGTTTTTAACCGACTAAATTTAGTAGATGTTCTAGAACTGATTAACTGATGTTGTTGTTTTTTCAGTAAATATTATACAAATATTTATATTTATTTTGTTTAATATTCCTTTTTAAATAAATGTTCCAATATTTCAAGATCAAGTTCAAAAAAATCTTTTTTAAATTTTTCAACACTTTATACTATTATTATTTTATAGAACACTTTATTTCGTTGCACTTTAACACCTACATTTATTGCTGTTGGAGTTATCCTGCTTATAGTTGTTGCTGTAATTCGTATCCGTATTGTTCTTGAGTATCAGCAGATTTTTGGTCGTTGCAGCCGCTTTGAAAAAGTTCACTTTCTGTTCCAGCGTGCAGACAATCGACATAATGTTTGGTTTTTTTTATTTAAAACGCCTTTGGCATTGTTTTAGAATTTTTTGAAAATTGTTTTTCAAACACTTTTGGTTTTTTTGTTGGGGGGATAACTGATTTAGTTGGCTAACGCGACGTTTCTGCGGTTTATGCACTTGGCCGAAATGCTTTTAACGGCTCTCACTTGCTGTTTAGCTTATCGCGGATCGAATGGGCTATATATTATGTGGGAATAATACAGAGACTTGTCGCGAGCGCCTGAACCGCTTCGAAAGAGGGCTGAATCGCAATTGAATTTGTAAAAGCATTTCTCCGACGAGCTGCTCGACGACGGTCACGTTGCAACCAAAGTTTTTACACGCGACCTAGCTTGTTGCGTCGAACGTGTTGTGTGGGGCTCGATTGGGGGGAAAAAGTGAAATTTCTCAGCGAGCCATTCTGGTTGCAAGCGATCACATTGCTGTTGTTGAGTAATCAGCGGGGCAATCTGAAGAAAAAAATCGTTTTGAGCTGCATATTTGAAACTAGAACGTGATTGCCTGTTGCGCGGGGGGTGAGGGGTTGGTTGGAGGGGGGTTCGCTCTTGACGCTCACACACACACTCACGTAAGGTGACTGAGGTGCTTTGGCCGCGTGAGTCTGATTTCGATTCCGATTCTTATTCTTATTCCCATTCTGATTCCAATTCTCCGTACTGGTCGCCTTTTTTCTTCTTTTTCGCTCGCTTGTGTGTGTGTGCCAGTTGGCTTGGTGACGCAAGCGTCTCTTACACAAAATATTCAGAGAACCAGCACATTATTAATAATCGAGAATGCATTTACATACATACACACATGCAAATGAGCGGGGAGTTAACATTTTAGGAGTAGGATTTAAAAAAAGACATTTTTTTGGTATTTGAACGACTATTGATTTCTAAAACATTTACCAAAAAATATTAATTCCACAATAATCCTAAAAAAAAATTACGTTTAAAATACATTTTTATTTTTTCAAGCCCCGAATTCTATGTTAAATATTTATATATTAAATCTGATACCAAAACAAATTGTATAAATAGGTAGAACTTAAAAAAATCTGCATTTATTTTAATTACAAATTTTTTATTTTAAATTGTAAGCTAAATGCACAAAATTATTAGATCTCCCAGTCCTAAAATTTCGTGTGTTTCCCCCGACTTTATTTGCGCACAATTTAAGATATGGTATTTCCTCAGAAAATCCTATTCGCCCAATCTAAACACTTAATATTCGATCCGTAAATACAACCTTTTCCGAGTACCAACAATTAAAAAATCTTATTAATGAGTTTGAACTTAGGAAAACCAAGAGGCGGATCGATAGATCACGTGGCTGGGAAACTTTGGATAGCTTTGGAGGTAAATATATGGTCACGCCGATATCTGTGCAGCCACCAAACTGTCTGGTGAGTTATTACAAAACCACTCCACACTTATATAAATCATAATTAAGCACTTAAGCACTATAGCGATAGCTTTATCAAAATGGAGGGGGGAGATTCACGCAGACTATCAACTTAGTTGCAGTTAAAGACAAAGAAACAAGAACAAAAAGAACAGCTAGATAAACACTGACACTTCACATGGCAAACAACGGGGAATGACTTGTTGTAAAAAAGTAAGGTCGGGAGTTATTACGTAAGTTCCTGGTCACTAGGCACTGAAACACAAATGAGGAACAAACAACGGATCGTAATGAAAGAATAAATTCTATTGAATTCGCATTAAGCAGTTGTTCTGAAAAGTGATTACAAAATGCCATCAAACCATTCATTTTACACCCCATGAAAATCGGAGAATAAAAGAAACTAAAATAACCACAGAATGGCTGATAAAGTGCAATGCATAAACTGCGCTTTATCTTTTCTATTATTAGAGCTGGAAATTCATTATCGCTTCATTTGGAAAAAGAACTCATGAGTTTTATGCTGCACTGCCGAAGATATTTCCTTTAGAGGAACTTGCAATGCCCTTTTTTCTAGTGAGATAAGAAATACATAATAGTTTTTATTGTTACTCATTCGATAAGGAATATACGGGATATTTTTAGGAAATATTATAACGCAACAGGAAGAAATATTATGGTAGAGAGATATTTCCTATTCTATAAAAATATTTGATTACTAGTATTTTAATACTTCATATTGGATAAATGATAATGAAAATATGTTTTATAATGGTTTACATTTTTATGTAAGAAGGTTTATATCATAAATGTATTTAAAAGATCAATTACTTTATTTTATAACGATTTAAAGATTTATGGAAAATGATAACTGACCTATCTTGTTAAGAAATAGTGACATCTTAATAAGTTCAGATACTTAAGACCCCATAAAACTGCCCCAATCTGGTTATCCCCTTTGTGGTTTCAATTTGAAGCCGATGCCCAGCTTCCAGTTCACAGTTTACAGCTCCCTGATTGCTGTTGATCATGAGCAAATCCCAATTACGCGATCACTAGGCGATATCCACGTGAGCCCCCCGATTCACGTGTCCCAACCAAACGTAGTCCAGTTGAAGTGGAAGGGCTCTAGACCCCCGACCAACCCCTCTTGGGATACCCCCGATAATCTCCGGCGCATCCGTTATCAGTATGCAAATGTGTAATGGGACCCTGTAGTAGTCGTACTAACATTTTACCCCCGGAATACCAACACTCATCTATGGTTTGTTTTGAAACACTCATACTCGGAATAAGGTAATCAGTTGGAAGGGGTGGAGGGGGATGGAAAACTGCAGCAGAAAGCCAAAATCGGTTACGAAACACTGTCGTCGTCGTCGGTTCTACTTATACCCCCTGGAAAACCCCCTCCCCCATCACCACCCCTGCTTACTGCATCAGCAGTCAAGTTATAGCAACGCTATTTATATTTCTCATAGCCAGAGGCGTGCGCGCTGACTCGACGTTCGCCGCTGGACGCTCGACGCTCGATGCTCTCAACGTTCGACAATCGGCAATCCAGCAATCCGGCAATCCGGCAATCGGCGGAGCGGTCACGTGTCGCGGAATGTGAGGCACCAGCGGCTAGTGCAACGCTCCCCAACAGCCGGCCTGCAATGGCTCACATGTTGGCGACTTGAGTCGGCTACGCAAACCAAATGGAAATTAACGTGTTCTCCACTTATTGCGTTTGTTTCTAGCATTCCCAACTTGGGTACAGTGGTCCCTCGGTAGCAAACAAAAAACTTAAAAATTGTACTTGTTTAGAAAAATATATTCTTTCATATATAGACTTTAAATCTTAAATAAAAAATATTTTCTTACGTTTTTATTTTTATTCGCCAAACAGTAAGATCATCAAGAAAATTATGTTTTAAAAAAATTCTTTTGAAATTTCAAAAATAATTTATTTTTAAATATATTTTTAAATAAAGACTTATGATTGGCAAAATTATTTAATTTTTGGAATTTCCAAAAAATATATTTTTTAAAATTAACATTTTTTAAATATTGTAATCTGTAAAACATATTTAAAAACAACAAAGTTTGCATTTCAATATTTTTCTTAAATTTTTTATGAAAATTTCTCCTGAAGATTAAAATGGTTACGTATGCGTAATATTACGTATACGCAATGTTGTCTATGCCCTATAAAGCGTAAAGTTAACATACTTTTTCGAGGCTCGTTCCTCGGAGTACCTTAATATGTATTTCCGTTCTCTTTATCAAAGTTTCACTGTATCGAGATTGGTGGCAATAATAATATGATTTTTTTATTTTCCATAACACCCTCCATCCAGCATATGGGCGACTTGCGGGGAGACGTAATCCCGATAGAAAAAATGCAAATCTTCGCAAGTATTTTGTTTGCACATTGCATTGATTGCAATTCGCCAAAGGTTTTTGTTGTTACTTGGCAACGTGCTCGATGTGCCGCTGCTGTAATTGTAGTTGCACAGCAATTCTTACGGCTGAAGTTACCCATTAAATGCGAAGAGGGTCGACTAGGCTAATACTCTATTAATATGAGGAAAATATAAAAATGTGAAATCATTTATATTTTGACAATAGCGAAGAAATATTCAAGAGTAATCTAGGAAGGTATATAACAGAACTTTGGTAAAAAGTATAAATCTGTAATATAATAAAATAATATAGGTACATGAAAAAATATTTAATGACTTTTAAGTAGGTATAGCCTTTAAAGAATATATTTGTAAAGTAATGGGTGTACAAAAGGCCTTTAAATGATATTTTCCAGACACTTTTTGTTGACTATTGTTTCTAATCTTGGTATAGGTCATTTAGGAAAATAAATTTCTAGGAACTGCACTTGAGTTGGAAGATAAACTGCCTTGTAACAGACGATGAAAGTCCAAGTTATTAAATCAAGTAAATGCAAGTAAATCAAGTAATTAAAACTACTCATTTAAAAAATTACTCACATTTTAGTAAATTTTAATACGGTTCTAATTAAAGACGTATTATTTATTTACTACACAGGCCAACAGTGTTTTTGGTGCAGCCCTATGGGCATTAAATTGTGTTAATATAGACGGATATAAGCATATCTGCATACTTAGTTTTCGAGTTTAACGGGTGGTATTTGTGCAATCGCGGTTTGAAAAAAGTAGCAACATTTTATATTTTCATTTAAGATATCTTCGAGGGTCTGTGCTCAGTTGTAATAAAACCTATGCCAAAAAATTGCTTAGATGCCCTTCTACATAATTGCATTTAAGGTTCCATCATTATTTGAGTTAATAAAAGCCTATGAGCCATTGAAGTAATTTGTTCACCTTTATTTACAACCAACTTGATGCGGTGAACAGGCTTAAAAAAATACAAGGAAAAATATGTGCCCTAAAATATTTTACATGCATCTAGAGGCGTCTTTTCCCGAATTTTTGAGATAAATCCCACTATTGTACTTCGAAGAATGGAATTTATAGAATTTTTTCCGTAAGAATGGGAAAAGTAACAAGTATTTTAGAGTCACTCTTACGTAACGAGTTTTTCGTGATTTTACACAGTAGGCTTTTTAAAGATAACAGTGGCGTCGCCTTAAAATTGTGGTGGGGATTTTTTTTAAGGCATATTAACCCCTTAAAAATATAATTTGTCTATGTTCGGCGCCTACTGCTAACCAAATTGAAAGGCACATTTTTACGAATGTGTCAGATATTTATGTAAAATGGGATTTAAAAATAGTTGTTACTTTTTAAGTTCTTACGGAAAAAATTCTATAAATTCCATCCTTCGACGTACAATGGTC